CACAAAATCGGATGCTCCCCACCCCCCTGAAAAAATAAGCCCGCCGACCAATATCATGGCTTCAACTAAACACCACACCACCCCTACGGATATGTACCTTGCACCTACTACAATCAAGTCTGGTTACAGGTCTGAATATACCCCTATCTTTGACATTAAGTGTAGAAGTGAATGGGAGTTAAGTAGTGTTAGTCATATAATAGTTATTTGCTGTATTGTTGTATTTCTGAATAGACTATTCTTGATTTTTAAAGTGACTCTTTTCATCAAAATATTATTATGTTTTTTTTTTAATCGGACTAGTACAACATTAGAAGCGATAGGTTATATTCAAAGTGATTTTTTTTTTACCTTCAATGTGTTATTGTCATAGAGTACGATGATAGTGTCCTCCTAGCCAGCATGAGCAGATGAGAGTTTTCTATGGTGCCCCGTAATAAAACAACATCAACTATGAGATTAAAAAGCATAAGATGATCTTTTTTACAGTATATATATTATAGGGAGTGTAAAGGTTTTTTGAAACTTGTTATGTGAATTTGAGACGCTATATTATGTAGCGATTTGAACAATTTCAACGCCCTGTTAAACGTCACCACTGCAATCACCCGAAACGTTAATCTCGATAAAACTATGATAAATAATATGAAATAAGATATGAAATGATAAATAATTAACTCAAACATCTGTGACAATGAAACAGTGAACAAATTTGCACAGAATATTGCATGGTTCGTATGATATTTTATCAACGTCTTTATCAGCTGTTTTGACATCGAATTAATTTTTCAATATAATGATCTACACTCAGGCCCTTTGCCAGCATGGGGGAGGGGGCCAGTAGGCCTATATATCTGGAGGGACAATAAGGTATGGTGTTTAGATGAAAAGTAATGTAATTGGAGGGTTGTCAGAATTTTTTCAAGGTGGCAATCCATTTTTCGAGTCCCAACCCCTCCAATAAATAAATCATTTTAAATAAATCATTTTTCAACCATGACCCCGGCCTGCCTACATTATAGGCTATAAAAAGGGAAGCAGTACAATGCAGAGTTTCGTTATCGAGATCAAGGAAGGATTTTAAAGCCGTATAGAATACAAAAATTAAGACAGAAATGTCATGTCACCACTTAAAATTGTGTTATAATTGATAAATTATACACATAGTTATATTTAATGGTGTTCCCCCATTAATCAGACAGACATTCCATTAGTTGGACAAATAATAACACTTTAAACGGTTGAGTGCACATTAAATCCATTCCATTACACTTCACTACACTCTTTTCTATTGCACTACACTTTACTTATCGTGTCCAAACCATACCCCAATTCGTCATACTTAATAAGACCATGTCAAAATCCGTATTTGTGATACGATGAACCTCACTATACTCTATTCTACTGTACTACACCTCACAACACTCTAATAATTCCACTACACCCCACTACACTCTATTCTACTGTACTACACCCCACTACACTCTATTCTACTGTACTACACCCCACTACACTCTATTCTACTGTACTACACCCCACTATACTCTATTCTACTGTGCGACACCTCACTACACACTATTATATTGCACTACACCCCACTACACTCTATTCCATTCTACTACACCCCACCACACTCTATTCTTAGTGTACCACACCTCACTACACTCTATTCTATTGTACTACACCTCACTACACACTATTCTATTGTACTATACCTCACTACACCCATTCCATTCCACTATACCTCATTACACTGTATTCTATTCCACTACACTTCACTACACTCTATTATATTCCACTATACCTCATTACACTGTATTATATTGCACTACACCTCACTACACTCTATTCCATTCTACTATACCTCACTGCACTCTATTCTATTGTACTACACCTCACAACACTCTATTCCATTCCACTATACCTCACTGCACTCTATTATATTCCACTATACCTCACTACACTTTATAATATTCCACTACACCCCACTACACTCTTTTATATGCCACTATACCTCACTGCATTCTATTCTATTCCACTACACCTCACTACACTTTTCCACACCTTATTACCCCTATCTCCACACAAAGCAAATTATTGATAGTATTGTAATGGTTATCACAGTTTGCAATGCAGTTGCCGCGCCAGTGGGGCACAGATTGGGTATGTTGAATCTCATCTTTGACGGTTGTCCCCCCTCCCCCGCTTAAGTCATTCTGTCCCCTATTTGCAATCATAATCACGGAAGGCTACCACGGTTGCAATGAAAATAAAATTCTCAAGACAGTTTCGATAGCCTAAATTATTTTATATTTCATTTTATTGTTTGATAGTGTCGTTAGGGTAGTCTTGATTTTAAACTGACGAAAGGATATTCGATGTGTTTAGTCTCACCCCATACCATAAACTAACATCACCCGCTCTGGTGTATTTCGCAAGATGTTATCTTAATGTCAAGAGAAATAAGTGTATGCAAATATTGTGCAATGTTGATTGACCTTCAAGGGATATAGGCGTCTAGGAAATTGATTAATCAGATGAAAAATTTAGTAATGTTATGCCACTGTCACAGAAATATTATTCATCTCATGTTTCTTTTAGCAACGGTGAAGTAGGCTCTAAAGCTCCATTCATTTCATTTTTAGCAACATTGGACGGCGTTTATCACATCTGACCGTCGTACACCGTAATACGGTCGCTGATGAAACATGACCGAATCTATAGTGTAACTAAATTATTACCCTTGGATTTTAGTAATTAACATATAGATCTGTGTCATTAACAGCTAACATAAATTTATACAGTGAGCGTATAAAACCGGATCTTTCACTCGTGGAAAACTGTGAATTCAATAAAAAAAAATGGTTGGGAAGGTTAGTTTTATTCGAGGGTTGTTGCGAAATAACCGAAATGTCACCATACTGAAAAATCTCACATAATTTTTCTTTTTAAAGATATCCAGATTTTAAACTAAATTACCCTTCTGTTAAATCACTAATCTTTTAAATATTTTGTTCATTGGGTAGCAATTTTATCCACCCGAAGATAACCTACGACATAGGAAAATGCTTATGAACATGTGTAGGAAAATACAAAGCTGTTAAAATTGAGGGTAAACAGTAGGAAGGAATGATATCTATAACCGGTATGACATGACCTGGTGTTCAGGTGAATACCTTCTTTTTCTAGCAACGGTTATAAATTGATTTCTTATCAAATAAACGATAATGCAATTTCCAATTGTCAAGATAACCTTCAATAGGGGCAATAAATATGAATCGGTTTGGTTGTAACTTTTACCATTTGGGGTTTCGCCCTTACTATTACTAGTTCTCATATCCATTTTAGGAGGCGCGTTTTGAAGATTCGCGCTTGCCCTCATTCCCCATTTGAGGATGAGCACTAGTCCTCCTTTGCCATTTGAGGGTTAACATTAGTCCTCTTTTCCATTGGATGATTGGATGCCATTCCTTTTGATATAAGAAGCAGTGTTCAAAACCTTGAGAAATTCTCACAACGTACTGTGACGGTGTCGCTGGCGCGGCAGGTCATGCGCACCCAATCAGTGACGGCTTGAGAACTTTGGATTGGGAGGGGAAGGGGCCAATCATTTCTTGGAGAAGAGAAGGGGGTGATTTTTTTAAATAAAGGGCTTAAGTCATATATTTTATGAAACATGAAAGGTGAGGTGTATTCTGTCATTTTTATCATTTATCAACAGAAACATTTGATAAATTTATTTTTTATAACACTGACAATAATTTCAATTTGCAGTGATAAGGATAAGATGCAAATTTTATCGGTTGAAAATTTAAATTTACGTAAAGAAAAAATTGATAATTCGTTATTTATCACACATTATTATCGTATCATTATCATTTATTGTATTATCATACAGCAGCACATATTGGGGAATAATCAAAGTACATTGTACTTGTGTACCAGAACACCAGCAGTGACATTTTTTAACTATCACGTGAGCCATTTTCTCTCAGTAATAACTATATTGAAATATTTACATTCATGCATTAGGCCTATAGTGTTTGAACTGAGGGTGTCACCAGAACTCAATTGCGCATACGGGTACCTATTTTTAGATGCATTTATAGGATTGATTCGGGAAACAAGATTAATTTCGGATAATGCAGAGATATAGGAGTCGTACGACAATTTTTATGGTGATAGTCATACTCATTATGGTTTTAATATTACATAATTTTATAATTCAGGTAAGAGAAATAATAATATACTTAATATATTCGCATTTCCAATTTGGTGTTGCGTATTACTCCTCATTTCTATTTGAGGATTTTTGTATTTCTATTTTCGTATTTCTATTTTTGGATTCGCACTATCTCTCATTTCATATTGAGGATTTGCTCTAGTCCTCATTTCATATTGAGGATTTGCTATAGTCATCATTTCATATTGAGGATTTGCTATAGTCATCATTTCATAATGAGGATTTTCTCTAGTCCCCATTTCGAATTTGAGGATTTGCTACAGTCCCCATTTCATATTGAGGTTTTGGTCTAGTCCCCATTTCATATTGAGGATTTGCTAAAGTCATCATTTCATATTGAGGATTTGCTACAGTCCCCATTTCATATTGAGGATTTGCTACAGTCCCCATTTCATATTGAGGATTTGCTTTAGTCCCCATTTCATATTAAGGTTTTGCTATAGTCCCCATTTCATATTGAGGTTTTTGCTTTAGTCCCCATTTCATATTGAGAATTTGCTAAAGTCATCATTTCATATTGAGAATTTGCTATAGTCATCATTTCATATTGAGGATTTGCTATAGTCATCATTTCATATTGAGGATTTGCTATAGTCATCATTTCATATTGAGGATTTGCTTTAGTCCCCATTTCATATTGAGGATTTGCTCCAGTCCTCATTTCATATTGAGGATTTGCTATAGTCATCATTTCATATTGAGAATTTGCTCCAGTCCTCATTTCATATTGAGGATTTGCTTTAGTCATCATTTCATATTAAGGATTTGCTACAGTCCCCATTTCATATTGAGGTTTTGGTCTAGTCCCCATTTCATATTGAGGATTTGCTTTAGTCATCATTTCATATTGAGGATTTGCTCTAGTCATCATTTCATATTGAGGATTTGCTCTAGTCATCATTTCATATTGAGGATTTGCTCTAGTCATCATTTCATATTGAGAATTTGCTCCAGTCCTCATTTCATATTGAGGATTTGCTTTAGTCATCATTTCATATTAAGGATTTGCTATAGTCATCATTTCATATTGAGGATTTGCTTTAGTCCCCATTTCATATTGAGAATTTGCTACAGTCCTCATTTCATATTGAGGATTTGCTATAGTCATCATTTCATATTGAGGATTTGCTTTAGTCCCCATTTCATATTGAGGATTTGCTCTAGTCCCCATTTCATATTGAGGTTTTTGCTTTAGTCCCCATTTCATATTGAGGATTTGCTTTAGTCCCCATTTCATATTGAGGTTTTTGCTTTAGTCCCCATTTCATATTAAGGTTTTGCTATAGTCCCCATTTCATATTGAGGTTTTTGCTTTAGTCCCCATTTCATATTGAGAATTTGCTAAAGTCATCATTTCATATTGAGAATTTGCTATAGTCATCATTTCATATTGAGAATTTGCTAAAGTCATCATTTCATTTTGAGAATTTGCTATAGTCATCATTTCATATTGAGAATTTGCTATAGTCCCCATTTCATATTGAGAATTTGCTATAGTCATCATTTCATATTGAGGATTTGCTCTAGTCCCCATTTCATATTGAGGATTTGCTCTAGTCCCCATTTCGAATTTGAGGATTTGCACCAGCCATCATTGCCTATGGAGCACGCGGACTAATCCCAAAGTTCCAATTTGAGGTTTAGATTGAATCTGGAAAGTTGAATCTGGAAGGGGCCACCGCCAAATTTCTTCTCAAATCCATTTATGAGTGAGGGGTAGGCCAGTTAAAAATTTGGGATATGAATTCTGCATTTTATGCAATTTGGAGTATTCTATTAATATTATACAAATTTACACTGAAAAATGCAAGTTTCCCCAATTATTTTTTGTAATTTCGGACCTTTGAAGAGAAGGGGCGTGACCTCTTGGAGCCGCCCTTGCACCCAACCAAGACACCATATCACGTTCGCAATTTCGCACGACCATCCTTTTTCTACATTTATCAGTTTTTGATTATTATCGCATCATTGTCTTCATTATCTTCAGTGGCTCAATTACCATAAGGATTGGCTGAACCAATTCCACTGGCCCCCACCAATAATTGGCCCCACCCTCGGAAAAAATGTCCATACCACACATCTGGTTGAGCCACTGGAGCAGACGTGTTATAGTGGAACTCCTCTAAACCTCATCCCCTATACACCGACATACCCTTAATAAACCGACATACCCTTTATAAACCTACATACCATCTATAAACCGACATACCCTCTACTATCAGACACACCCTCTATAATCCGACATACCCTCTATACACCGACACACCCTCTATAATCCGACATACCATCTATAATCCGACATACCCTCTATAATCCGACATAACCTTTATAAAGCGACACACCCTCTTTAAACCGACATACCCTCTATAATCCGACATATCCTCTATAATCCGACATACCCTCTATAATCCGACATACCCTCTATACACCGACATACCCTCTAGAATCCAACATACTCTCTTTAAACCGACATACCCTCTATAATACGACATAATCTGACACACCCTCTATAATCCGACATACTCTCTTTAAACCGACCTACCCTCTATAGTCCGACATACCCTTTATAAACCGACATACCCTCTATAATACGACATACCCTCTATAAACCGAAATACCCTTTATAATCCAGTACAGTAACATTTTTTAACTATCACGTGAGCCATATTCTGTTAGTACTGTATTAAATTTCTTTCGTATTCATATGCGTTTGAATTGAAGGTGTTACGAAAACACGATAAAGATTGAGTAATTTGTAGTTGATACGCGATACGGGACAGGATTAGGCTAAAAATGAGGTTTAGTATAAAGCGTGTGTATAGGAGACATCCAAAAATTTCTATAGTGATAGTGTTACTGATTATGGTTTTAATATTACATAATTTCATCATTCAGGTAAGGGAACAAATAGAATACTTGCTTCCAACGTTAGAGTACATAGAGCAGTAGAGATCTTTAGGGAAGAGACACCTCTTAAGGGACGGGACGGGACAGACCGATGCTAAGAAGACTAATATAGTTCATTTCAACTAGGGAAGTGTGAGACATGAGAAGAAGGACAAGGGATTAAGTAATAAAATTTTGTGTATAGATGGATACTATTGTCTTGTATCGGTGGTCCGTTGGTGGAACAGAAACTTTCTGTAGGGTGATTGTTGTGTTGTTCGTTTCCATGATTTGTATTTGAACACAAAGAACACCAAGAATTGGCTTAAACTGTTTTGTCAGGACGTTCCATATCAGCTTGGTGTTAATTATTATGACTGTGAAGTTTATGCATATTTTAAAATTTTATTTTAAATGGTTTTCTACATCTCACATCATGTTTGTCTTGATTGAACTGTTGAGTCAAATTGAAATATTTGGTCGAAAACAGGTTCAAAAGTGTTATTTTACGCAATTAAATATCAGTCGAATGAGAACAGATTTGTGCCTATAACCCGCTTTAAAGGAAGTATAACCAAACACTACATGCAATTATGCCGAAATTGAATTTAATTAACGAAGAAACAGCAAAATAACACCCAGTGGCAAATAAAACTAACCACATATATATTGTAAAATAGGCCAAATAACTTTCAAGTTTGAAAAGGTACAAGTTATCAACCTATCCCAATGTGCCTACATAAGGGTACCCTGTTCATACGACACGATTCAATTAAACATGTTTTAATATTAGTCGTGTTCTAACTAGTTACATGTATCTATATTGTTTTAACACTATATAGTAGGTTTCGTTTTCAAGTTTCCTGTTATACGATGCGGTCAAACAAGTCAAATATTTCAATGATAACAATTGTGGTGTGAAGCTTACACTTACTAAATACTAAAAATGACAATCTTCTATAATATTTTGTCAGCATCCTGTGGTCAGATGAGACATTAACGTCCGATTCCTGATATCGCAGAAAGTTAGTTGTTGGTAGCATTATGTAGGACCAGGTTGGTTACACAGTTGAGAAATCTTCAGATTTGGTTGACTCAAATGACATTGCTGTGAAACTCGGTTCTTGGTCTTCTTTAGTTAGCAATAATAGAATAGATTCCACTTCCATAGCAGGCGAAAATCCTACTCGATCATAGTCTACATACAATTATTGTTAGTAATTTATATACCTACATACAATTGTTGTTATCAATTATATATCTATACACAATAATTGTTAGTAGTTTTATATCTTCATACAATTATTGTTAGTAATTATATATCTACATACAATAATTGTTATTAATTATATATCTACATTTAATTATTGTAAGTAATCATATATCCACATACAATAATTGTTAGTAGTTTTATATCTTCATACAATTAATGTTAGTAATTATATATCTACATAAAATTATTGTTATTAATTATATATCTACATACAATTAGTGTTATTATTTATATATCTACATGTTATTATTGTAAGTAATCATATATCTAAATTAATTATTGTTTGTAGTTATATATCTACATACAATTATTGTTAGTAATCATATATCTACATACAACAAATGTTAGTAATTATGTATCTACATACAACAATTGTTAGTAATTATATATCTGCATACACGTATTGTTAGTAATTATAAATATAAATACAATTATTGTTAGTAATTATATATCTATATACAACAAATGTTAGTAATTATGTATCTACATACAATAATTGTTAGTAATTATATATCTACATACATTTGTTGTTAGTAATTATAAATATAAATACAATTATCGATATCTAGATTCAATAATTGTTAGTAATTATGTATCTACATACTATAATTGTTAGTAGTTATATATCTACATACAATTATTGTTAGTAATTATATACCTACTTACAATAATTCTTCGTAATTATATATCTGCATATATCTAGAAAACCTATTTACAATCCCTTTTATAATAATGCTTATAATCCTATACTAGAAATAAACCCAATGCTTTTGTTTCTTTCAGTCACCAAGAACAAACTTTATGGAAGTCGCATCCTGGGAGTTGCAAGGGAAAAGCCTACCTGGAAACAGCACATTTTCTTATATAAAAACAGATGGCATTGAGACGTACTTGTTGTCAGCTATAGTCAGACCGAAAATGAGCCAAAATATACAAATTATACTGAATTCGTTAGATTTTACTAAAGGGAGAGGTGCCTTCCTTTGTTGTCTGATATCTGATAAATCTTTAATAGCTGTGCCAGCGAGTTTTCATGATATACATCGACATTTTATAACCATGCCCATTATCACTCAAACGTTTTATCCTGCCCCTTTTGATGCCACTCAGTATTTATGTGGAGTTCCTGAAACTGATTTAAAAAATCCAGTGACAAAAGCAACTTTAACGTTAAGTGGTAGTTGTAGTCATAAAAAGGAAGACTACCTCTCGGTTGTATATCCAAAACGTGTTTCCAATGGTTTAGCCATATGTGCCAAGGTCGTTTGTGGAAGTAAACTCAACATACCTAAACTAATAGAGTGGTTTGAAATGCAGAAACTTTTAGATGTTGATAAGATAGTTGTGTTTGACTATAAATGTTCATCTTCCGTTCAAAAAGTATTCCAGTATTATATAACAGAAGGGATTTTGGAAGTGGTGCCATTTTCACTGCCAGGTAGGTGTTTTATATATCAATCTCCCACACAATTTGCAGGCAGATTTACTGCTTGCTGACAATGATGTCTTGAAGTTTTTTATTTATGAATTTCAACAAGTAGGGGCAGTGACCTCCCTCCCCGCTGGTTATGCCACTGACCTATAGAACAATATTCCAATTTTTTCCAATTAAGGAAATCCGGAGCGAGGATACGATTCAAAGAATAGAGTTTATCCACAGTTTTATCACGATGAGGAGATTACACTAATGGACTGCCATGAAAGATTATCTGGATATCAGTATATTTTAGTCAGCACAGTCGATGACATTCTACTCCCTCGACGCCATTTTACAATTAAAGAACTCTTGAAGGTAAATATGACCTGGATAACCTTGATGATTAGAGGTGGACATTCTAAAAATATTCATTGAGATTAATGCTGGTTGTCTCGACACATTAAAAATAAGATCGATGTAACAGAAACACTCGTAGCATCAATATGCACCCTTCCAATTTTGTCTGTGGTCCCTGAAATTCCGCTAAAACTAAATTATTGATGACGTCACTAATTGCGAATGCCCTCGATGCCCTCTATTAGTGAAACTTAGTTTTAGGGGAAATGCAGGGACCACAGAAGGTAATTATATTATATCTTTTATTTATGTTTTGTCCCATCTATTGCAATAATAGCCATTTTGAATATGACCGCGCTCCCTAAACATATTGTGTTGCCAAATTTGAAATCTTTTTGATGATTGTAAACGACCCCCAAGGAAACATCCGTATCTTGACGCACCAAATTCAAAAAAAATCTCCTCCATAGCAAAAATATTATTGGTCTTTTTCAGAGCTTAACGGAATCTCACCCGAAATCTGGTGGATTCTATTTTCAAGTTCAGTCCCATGTAGAAGAGTGGGAGAAAGAGAGTCGAGTTACTGGCAGTTATTTTCAGCAATATTTAAAATCAACCAAACCAACCTCTCAGTTTCCTACCTATATATTCATACACAATAGATCTCATTCACCTAAACAACACAGCTTTAAAAACGTTTCACCATATCAAGAGTAAGTGTTTTTTTTTTTCAAATTTATGAACAAAGATTTCTAGATAACATTATACTACATTTCGTCATATCATAAACTGAAGAATGCACAGTGGAGTCAGGGCTACCGCTAACTCATATGTCAGTACATTATGACGGAATCAGTGCCGGAATCACTGTACGTGAGTGGAGGAGTGACGAACTCACTGACGGAGTGACGAACTCACTGACGGAGTGACGGAGTGATGGGTGAGGCAGAATTAATTGGCACAGTGAACTCAGAACTAAATTTTCAATCAGATGTCTGTGGTTCCTGCAATTCTACTAAAAAGTGTTTGATCACATCACTAATCGGTAAGGGCCTTGTGTGATAAATCATATTTTGCTATTAGTGACATCATCAAAAACTCTTTTTTGTCGAATTGCAGGAATCACAGAGGTCTTATTGAAATTTGAATGGTGCTGCAAATTGATGCTATCATTGTCCCCGATACGCGTAAAAAAAAATTTATAAACCCCTTTACAATCCCTTTAAAATGTGTTTTCTTACTTCTTTATAATACAACAACATACAATGAAAAGGCATTTCATTCACTTTTAATCCTCTAACGCATAACTCTGTTTGTGAAGTGAATGAGCTTTGATATTACGATACGATCTATATTCACTTCAAGTTACGCGTGTTAATGAACGAATACTATACTGATAAATATCAATATTTGAAACTGTTTTTTTCCTTCTCGCTAAGTTTTAGACATAATATAAAATATATCTTTTTCATTTGACTGTCGAACTTGCCCCAGGTAGTGGCCGATCTTACCCCGACCCGGGGCATGTCCGGTCACTTTGACCTTTCGACTTTTATGATAACTATTTCTTGGACCGCTAATATTAGGCAAAAATGATAGATTACGTATTGAGGGCGACTTCAAGTTTTTTCATTCTGGTTAATTTCATTGAGATTTATTCATTAGTTTTTTTTATATACAGCGTATTTTCCAAAAAGTGGCCGAACTAGCCACGGTCGCAATGTCCATTTCGTTGAATACTTTAATTACTATTTTGTTTATGTATCTTTCAGGCATCATGTAGAGCCATCACTGGCCACCGTTCATCATTATGGAAAATGTCCAAGAGAATGGAAAGAATGTGTTCCAGATGAAATAGCGGACAAAACCGTGATAAAATATAAGGAAGTGGTTTTAAAAAATACGCAAACAGTATTAAATAAACTTTCAATCCGATCCTAGCCTGTGAACTTCAACTTTCAGTCCTTTTAATTATTGTCAGTGGCTTAGCGAGAATTTCATTGACAGAAGGGGTCATCCCAGCGCTCATTGAATCAATGTATCGCGATACGACATGCCACGATACGCGTCCTGTATCGATACTTGACAATACCTTTTATTCCATAAATAAGTGGGCATTTTGTTTTAGGATATAACAGTTTTCTTCACTGAAATATCTGAGGTTGCCCGTATATACATAGTTATGAGATTTTTGCCTGAAAACCATGTCTTCGGCTCCGCTACTGGAATAAAGGTATATTTTCGATCTAGCTTTAACGTCGAATGTAAACTTAATATATTTCTATATTTGAGACATTTGATCAAACATAGTCCCATGAGAATTTTTATGTACACGAAACTAAAACACGAAAATATTGAAAGCAATGTAATTGAATATTTTATTGTATTCAGCTGTCATTGAATATAGAAATCAGCATAAATATGTCACCCATTTATAAATAATTCATATTTTGTCATTTTATTATACCTTTACTTCTATTACCTACATTATTAATTAATCGATTTCACGTACGAATTTTACTTTTGTTTATAGTATTGTAAAAATGTTCATGCCACTGTTCTGAAACTAATCGCGCATATTATGTCGTTGCCCGTAACCAGTCCGATGTGCCAAGGGGGCGGCCGCATTTGCATGGGGGATATAGCTGATAGAGACTGATTTCAGCTTTATTTTAGGATTTGTTCGAATTTGCAGTGGTTGGTGGGCAGGGGCGAATATAGTCCACCAACCCCTTATTTACGGGCCTGCAACACATTTATTTCAAATTTCATCAAACTTGGACTGCAGTCTGCAGTCTATATGATCGTTACAGTTCAAACATGACACCCTTATATAGACAAGGGCAATTCCGGAAAAAGACATGTTTGAACTTGACTAAGATATTAATAATATATATCGGGTGGCTATAATAGTTTGACCTATAATATTATGTTTGGAGATACATGTATATAACATATTTCAAAAGAAGGGATTTTTAAAAGGCTGTTATTTTAAAGTGGATCAACATATATTACATAAAACTGCAACCATTAACCATTGTCTACAAGTCAAATTTGTCGCGTTATTATCACACCAAGGGCATTAACTCTAAGAAGATGCATCGTTACTCCGATTCTTTCCAAAAGATAAATCTGCAGCCTCTATTTTGCCTACAAGAAAATGTGGCAATGTTCATGCGGGCGCATTTCTGATTAGAATGCCGGTAAAGTGAAGAGAAGATGGAGTGGGTCATCCCACCCTTTTTAGATTTTTTCAAGCACCCTCTTATAAATTACACTTACGAGGAAATGCTGTGCATACAGGCATCAATTAAGAATTTACACTTCAAAGGAAAATAATTGAATTTATTCAAATCTTATGAAAATAATTGAATTTATTTAAATCTTATTCCAATTTACATATTCACAAAGCTCAATGACAATGAGTATAATTATATTGATAATATAAACCGAAAAAATTTAAAGCAACTCCTGGCTTTATAACAAAATCCAAAGTGACTAGAAAATATCTGTATTTCAAAAAAGAGTCCTAGGTCCTTAATTTCGTTATTGAATTTATTTTCAGCCTGGCTATTTAGAGCGTAACATGTAACGACATGATAATATCCATACGTTTTGAAATAAACACATAAAAAGTATTTGAACAAACAGGTCAGATAAATTGAGAGAAGAATAAAAGGGTATTAAAGTGTGTACGTAATAACCCTTTTAAATAAAGATAGCTTGCCAGGCTGCCCACTGGCAGCTTTGATTTTAAATAAAAATATTTGGCAGTACAGTAACAATTACCAGTATGAAATATTCAACCTTCAGACATAAACTCCTTTTGAACTTTTTGAGGCGATACCGAATAATATTACCAAGTTTCATCAAAATCTGTCAAGAATTGGGCCTTCTAGAGTGTTTACAGGCTAAACCTTCAACACATTTTTAAGAACAAGGGCAATAACTCATATTAAATATTTTTCGATTTTTCTGATTTTCGATAGGGTTCATCCTTGGGTGATTACATATTTTACTCACACGAAGTTTCGTCAAAATCCATCAATAATTGTGCCTTCTAGAGTGTTTACGTGCTACAAATTGAACGCATTTTCAATAACAAGGGCAATAATTCATATTAAGTATTTTTCTATTTTATTGATTTTCTATAGGGTTCATCCTTGGGTGATAAACAATTTCAGCAAGTTTTGTCAAAATCAGTAAAGAATTGTGACTTGTAGAATATTAACGAGCTAAAAATCGAACGCGTTTTAAAGAACAAAGGCAATAATTCATAATAAATATTTTTCGATTTTATTGATTTTCAATAGGGTTCATCCTTGGGTGATAATAAACAATTTCAGCACGTTTCGTCAAAATCCTTAAAGAATTGTGACGTGCAGAGTGTTAATAAGCAATTGTGGACGGGCCGACTGACGTGGGCGTATAAAAACAGACTAAATAATCAATCTTATTTAATTTTGATTATATTTTTCTTCTTTACTCTCGTATTTGTTCGTATTCTAATCGATCACGTTTTCTACCACAGTTCCGTTCTAATGACGTTATTTTTGACCAATAAAAGTGTGTCATGTAAACCTGTTTCTTGATAACAATAATGAATTGTGGGGGTGATGGCTGTAGCAAAACTGTCATATTGCTCTTCTCTGGCTTTTGCTATCCCATAATCTGTCATCGTTATCAAGAAACGGGTCTATATGACACGCACTGATTGGTTAAAATAACGCCAATTGAACGGGACTGTAATAGAAAACTTGTTAGATTACAATAAGGACGAAAAATAGACTAAAATAGAAACTAAATCGTAACCAGTTTTATTACGATTATGTTTACACAAAAGCCTTACAACCACAAAGACAAACAAGAAAATGCATAAAGATCTTTTTGAACGCCTCTCTGTGCAAATATTTAGTTAATTAAGTTATATGATCTGATAGCATTATGTTCATGTTGATCTAGACATTATATCAGGTATCGCCGGTATATTGGTGATATAACAAACCATAATCAATAACTGCAAACACATTCGAATATAAATGCATGTCAGCATAATCTTAAATTGATTAAACAGGCCCAGTTTTTAACCCTTAACAATTTTTCCAATAATAATCCGAAACTTGACTCGAATATGACATTATTTTGATAGTTATTTTTATAAGGTTGATAAACAGGAATTGTTGTGTTTTTTTCAAAAAAAATAAAATTTTCACCAATTCTCAAACCAAAATTCTACGTGCTTTTTTTTCTCTCTCAAAATAGCAATTGAACAATGGCTCAATAGCACAATTTTGTTGATTAACACAAATGGATAAGAATTTTTTTTTTTAATTGTGTAACAATCTTACAACTAACCCATCAGCTATCAAAGACCAGCAGAGAAGTCACCAGTTTCAGACTACTCTGTTGTATGCAGATATAGTGATACTCACTAAAAGCAGAATAAATGTATACAAAAGCTACATTTTGAACTGTAGGACAATGATACTGGTATACTATATAACACTGGTCAACTACTGAAACTAAATATTTCTAAAATAAATGAGTAAGTTCAACTACTGCTCAATATTGTGATACGCCTATTAATACAACAATAATTACTTCAATGACACATATTTGAAATCAATATTGAAGTTAATATGAGTTGCTTTGAGATTCAAATTAGCTGATTTTAATCCTGTAGATGATTACAAAAAAAAGTCATAAACATTGACAATTGACTTATGTCTCTGAAGTATTAAACAAAAAAAGTAATCATACCAGAGCTTGAAGTAGAGATCAGCTGCTTCAGCAACAGTTATATAATTTTTATCAGGAGCCATGCTATTCGAATCAGAAATTAGTGATTGATTGGTTTTACCAACATACTGATTAATAATGTATAGCACATTAACTAGAAGAAAACGACACCATTGGGCTATAAAGTAAGTAACAGAACATACAGAGTAAGAAACATCAGGGGACCAACAAGCCAACCAACTGAAACTACACAATATGTTATTTTTTGGATATTTTCCTCAGGAGAGGGTGCTTATCAATTACAGTGAAGGTTTTCTGTTACTGGAGGTAAAAAGAGTGCATTTTATGCTCGCAATTACACAGTGCACAAGGTAATACTTAAAACATCAATAATAGAAAATTAAAAGTAATGAACATTGATTTTTCCAATAAACTGTCTATCAAAGTTAATGTATAAGTGTCAAATTAAACATAGGCCTCTAACTAAAGTAAATATTCCAGATACCAGTAAGAAGTCATTAAACAATATTTGTTTTATTTCAAAAGTTTATCAAAAGTTATATTACAGGCTATTTCAAAATCTTTGGTACAGAGTAAAATAAAATAAGATATTTTATGATCAGTTTAACAGAAGTGTTACAAAATGTTGACTCTTATTATATTTGGCATCACTTCAAGCCAACCTTTGTTACATCACCCTCAGAATTACAGTTTAAATCCTGCCCAAAAAATCCTGAAAATCCGTTTATGAAACTAAGATCAATTTTATAAGATTTTTCCTTCAAAAATGTCATTCAAATGTTTTCTTTACATAGCTGAACAACATCTGTTAATGACAGCTGTTTCATATTTCAAACAAATTCAAAGTGAAATCCCTATCTACAAAATTCAGTAGAAAATGATCTAAATTTCTGTATCAAAGTTAAAAAGAAACAAATAGATTACTTTAACTAAGTATTGGATTAAGTATAAAACAACGTATATACATTATTTATATCTTACAAGACCCTATATAAAAAACCCCTATCCTAGTGTGAACTCTCCCTTGCATGTGTATAATCAATATTTAGTGAATGTGATAGGAAGGGTTCATTTACATTAAGATGGACATCAAGCTGTACCATAGCCAAGATTTTTGCTTCAAATCTCTAAGACAATGTCAAATGTAAACAATATATTTTTCTCATACCAGAATACTTGTAAAAAAACGATTGGGAAAATTCAGATTTTGAACTGGGGAAAATTCTGGTAGGACAGGTAAAAGGCCTTAAAATAACGATTCAAAACCACTGCCTATTAAAAGTAAAAGCATAGTTATCTAAAAAAAATATTTTCACTAACAAAAACTTACAAATAATCAATTTAAAATGCTCGTCTATAGGTTTTCAGGTGTATATGGAGCACAAATGAAACATCCAGACTTCCATTTTATTATGAACAATATAATAATTTAGGTGGCCCTCATACCATAGTTGATCACCACTTGCATATGGTCAAGAATAATAAAAGCAGTCATAAGTTTTAAGTTGTGAGTAGCGTTTGGAACTCATGGCCACTTCCATTATTAGCAACCATGCCCAACTGGTAATCGCTATGGTGTGAGGGTACCTTTATGGAGAACGGTAAACTGTCAATACTAATGGTTGATGTTTTTGAAGTAATAAAATGATAAAGTTTTATTTCTTGACATGAAATACACATGGAATAATTGGAAAATTAGGAACTTTCTGACATCTTTTGTTTTACATACTAACGATATACTTTATCTTAAACCAAATAGAAGAGTATAAACCAATTCATAATACAGGAGATTTGATTTATTACTGAAACAAATGTCTGAACTAGTGGTTACACTATATTTTAACTTTGCGAGCTAACTTAGCTTGTAATTCTGCTATTTGTCTTCGGATGGCTTCTTCCTCATCTTCTGCAAAAATAAATATAAGACATCAGAAACCAGACAACTCATGGGAGAATAAAGGAAATTTTATCCTTGGTTCATAGTTGTCTTTTTATTTGTACAAAAATTTTTAGTCCATAATCTCCACAAATATTCTTGAACTGTATTGACTGTATAAGCTGAGAAAGAAGAGTAATTGAGGCTTGCACTTGCCTATTTTAGATTATAACTGACAGCCTCGTTTTAGAGACAATGAAAGCGATGTTCATTACATCTCTATTGAAAAGATGGCAACATCATATGAAGGAATACTCTGAACACCTGATCAACAGTGAAAAAAATGGGCTTATAGCTGTCACAGAAATGTGTGAGAGTAAACTTCGTCTGAAGGTATTCTTTAAATAGCTTAATCAATTCAGATTTTAATGATATAAATTTGATAAAAAATTTGAGCTAATGAGAATGGAGAAGGAGGCATTGAAGAGGACAAGGTGGACATTTTCTGCTGTGACACTTTTTTTTATGATTGCGTTATGAGCCCTGTTCAGGATTCAATATAGCTGATGCGTGAATATGGTCTATATAATATAACATCCATGTTAGTTTTCAAAAGCAGATCTGAGGTAAAATTCTTTCTCTATCTCAAGAGAATCATATCAATGTATTTATTATTTTGTACTGTTTGTATTCATGTTGTGTATCAATTGTTTGTGTTTCCTATTTGTATTTGTATCAATGAATTTCCTTATATAGAATTTTTTATTATTATCATTATGAAAGTACTTAACCAAGTTGAACTAACAAGGTCAAAACATTTCCTGTTTTACATAAAAAAACACTTCTCAATTTTATATACTCTTATATTAACTGTTTGATAAATAAAAAAAATTTAAAGTTGAGAATTGAATATCAATAGGCCCAAGGTGTCCAGAAACACAACCATTAGAGGTATTGCTTATTGTAACCTGTTAGGAAGGGTTATAACAAAAGGGGCCTTTGTCCTACCTTCAGGTGTAGGTTGATGATCTGTAGATTTCTCTACACCCAGACATTGACGTAATAATTCTGTTTTGAGATCAGTTTGTCCTGACCCTGTCACAATATCACAGTATAATAGTTTCTCTTCTCGACGTACAACTTTTATTCTATTTTTATCACCAGTGAATGAGTTAATGAGATGACCTGCTCCAGTACCCCACTTCTCACCTATTGGTTTTATACCTGAAAATATTGAATCTTATATAAGTTTTTATAATCTATTGTTATAATTTCATTAAAATATTCACTAAAGCAGAATGGAAATTCAAATTTAATAAATTACTCATTATTATTGCAGAAAAAAACTGAAGTTGAAGTATCAAGCTAATGCTATTTTTCTATTAGAATGTTAAGAATGGCAAATTAAGGACCTTGGACAACAGGAAGCCTAGAAATTTTAGACACAGATAGAGCAGAACATTTGCTTGCTACATTGTGGGATTATCAAATAATCCAATATTATACAGTACTTGGACAGACAGCAGAGCACAAACAGCTACTAAATGGAATGAAAAACAGCTTGCATGTAATGCAACAGTTAGATTATTTTAACTGAAAATTTAGTGATAAAGAAGTGGGGTGAGGGCATTAACTTACTTAGAACTTAACTATTAGCTATCTGTTAAAATGTTGGCTTATTGTGAAATACTTTAAGTGAGCCACTTTAGAAAAATTTAGTCAACATGGGTGATTCATGTGGGGGTATAAAAAGGGTTAGGTTTTTTAATTTTTATATATATAATATACCAAGGCTACACCAATACTCACCATTTACTGCACATTTAAAGATATAAACTGGTAAAGTCATGAACTCTGGTAAAAATGGACGTAAATTATATTTCAATAATTCTTTCTCTTCACCAATATCAATAAATTGTATCAAAACTTTATCATTTCTTAGTTCTTTAACTACACATCTATACCAGTCTTCACCTGCTATTGACAATAGGAGATACATATTACATACAATTTAAATATATCTAGATTAATGGTTACAAGTTGGTTCTTTAATATATTTTACTATTGGATCGAACCTTTGAAAGCTCAAGATGATTTAATGATTTCCAACGGTCAAGATATCTTTCAATTGACCAACAAAGAAGATAGTGTTTGTCTTATATGAACACTTAAGTTTTTGTTTTTCTCTTCCAAAGTAGCATAATGGAACACAGCTGTTACTTGACTGAGCCACTACAACTACCAACAAATCAAATCAAAACTACTAATAGAATATCAGGAAATTACTTCCCAACATAAGTAAAAATTCAATCCATATCAAGATTCTACCTCAGAGCTTTCAGACTGAGAAAATATTGTAACATACAACCTATTTAACAAGTTTCTGAAGCCTACAGAAAAATAAAGAGAAGAGAACTTGCATACTTACCCATCAACCCACAATAGAGATGATCAACTAGAGGTTCTACATCCATTACAGACTTTTCACAATAGTCAGCCATTGACTGACATAGAGTACTTAGAGCCATCATAGCTTCTGTACCTACAAATAAATAGATGGCAAAGTCAACTAATCTTCACTCACGTTGGGGGCTAAAATGCGAGACCTTCTCACAATAACATCAAAATTTTTCAGCATGGAGAGGAGGATTTTCATAATTAGCATAATCAGATTACTCAACTGTATCTATAAATTTTTTTAATAAATTAACTACACAAATTTACACTAGGTGTCACTGTAATTCTGTGTCAATGTGTGTTGATGAAAAAAAACTTTATTTTCAACAACACTATTCTCAACCGATTAACACCCAAACCTAAAGATATATCAATCAATCAATGAAAGAAAATATTGAAAGACAGAAACAAAAGATCGGACATTGACTTAATAACTTAAATATTCAGTATACTTACTACCTTCGGAAGCTGAATGACAGTAAATATTGTCAGGATCTACTACATGAGTAAATATAACGGTCAATTCATCATCGGATGGTACTACAAACTTTATATCTGACATTTTATAATGCTCAACTTCACGTTTTGGTGCTAGTGTTATTTCAGGTACTGCTTCTTCTTTCTGAGAATCTGTTTTCTTCAATGGTTTTGTTTCTGAAGTTGGTGATCCTGAGAAAGCTTGGATTATAACATCATTGATGTTAATTCCATCAGTTAAAGTAACGATAACTTTGTATATCTCGTCCACTGTGGAAGAAGCTTGGACGTTTATAATGTCTTTATTGAGCATAGTCTCAATCTTTGCTTGCTGGTCACTATTAAGAGGTATATGTATTCCATAGAAGGAACATTTGATAGCTTGAGCTGGCAAGTCTAAAAGTGATGGATTTAATTTTCTAATGTCTTTGACGAAAATATCACTAGTGTTACCATAGTCTATGAACAAAACAGTAAATTTGTCGTCCTTTTGATTTAAAACTTTAGCCCTATACCACATGTTTTCATACAGAGCACTGACATGTTCTCCTATTTTGGGTAAGTAACTTTCTGGGGTGGTCGTACATTCACCATTGAGTGTTTCCATCACACTAGCCAACTTAGAGTGCCGTTCATATAAACTGACACAAAAAACAGAGTCTTGAAGGAAGCAAGAAAAGACACAAGGTACTTGTTTATCTTGGGGTAATTTTTCTTCTCGAATTTCTGAGTGAGCCAATGTTGGTATGACTGGAGATTTTGGACGGAATTCATTGTTCAAGCACTGACCATTTGATAAAATAACGTTCACAAAATGAGTGTCATCTTTCTTTTCCATTAAAATCATTTTTAAGTCGTGATTACTATTCAAGAATTCAGCAAATTTCACCAAACTTTCTTGTCCATTGTCAATAGCGTTATAAAGACTGCAATGTAGAGCCAGAGGAGGAATAGAAGCCAAGCTGGATGTAAATTGACGCACTGAAGAAGGTGTAACTAGGGAAGTGTTACCGTAGTCAATGAATAAAACCTCATAGTTAGCATCACTAGTAATGTCAATAACTACTGCACGATACCATACACCTTCAAATTTACAGCACACATATTCGCCTTTCATGGGTTTATAGTCTACTGGTTTCACACGGGCCAATTCCAAATCAATCGCTTCTAATGCATCCTTTACACTTGAATCTGATACTAGTACATAAAAGTCACAAATCCCATTAATGTGCTGAATTTCAAATCCAACAGAAGTAGGCTTATCCAAGGTCACAATGGATTCTGTAGATTTCAATTCAAAGGATTTAGATTGAGTTTCTTCTACATCTGATTTGGATGATGAATTTCCATCAGATTTGTCTAATAACGCTATCAAGGCTTCATTCAAATTTGTTCCATCACTTAGAGTTACAATTGCCAAATGGACGCCATCTTGGATACCCACAATTCTCACATTGAACGCAGCTTGAGACAGGTATGACTCCACTTCTGCTTTTTTAGTTTTATCAATCTTTGACTTCAATCCTGCAAAACAACACTTCACAGCCTGAGACGGAAATTCTAAATGACAAGGCAAAATTTTTCTTATTTCGCTGGAAGAAACGTCATGAGTGTTTCCGAAGTCTGCAAAAAATACAGTGTATTTATCATCACTGATATTTTTAACTTGAGCGCGATACCAAGCATCTTGGTATAGAGCACAAACAGATTCATCTATCACTGGTTTATAACTGTCCGAGTTAGATGTACTGTAGTTGTTAACTTCAACACTTAGTTCACAGAACGTTGGATAAGAATCAGCTTTTAACACACAGAATTCACTGGATGATAAAAATGTAGCGAACATCGTCAATACTTCAGATCCATCAAGAGGAAAATCACAGGCAGCCATTTTCAGTAGTGACTTTGATTCAGGTTCGGATGGTGCAAGTTTCCTTTCTTTCTGCCCAAGAGAAGTTTTTGTGATTTCATTTGTTGGACTTGCTGGATCAGGAGTATCAATGGGAGGTTTTCCGATGTCTGCTTCATGCATTGTCTCCTCTTGAGCGACCTTCAACACTTCGTTAATATTGGAACCGTTCTGTAAAACAACTACAACTTTGTGAATTTCATCCACAAGCGAGGAAGCGTGCACAGTAAAAATGCCAGATTGCAAGATGGATTCCAGTTCAGTTTGCTGTTCAATTGTTAAAGGGGTTTTCACACCATCAAAGGAGCAAGGAATGGCTTGAGCTGGGAATTCCAAATGTTCTGGGTTTAATTTCCTGATTTCAGCAACAGTGACTTCACTGGTATTTCCATAGTCTATGAATATAACAATGAATTTATCATCAGTGTGGCTTAATACATTAGCACGATACCACATTTGCTGATACAGTGCACAAACAAACTCCCCAATTTTCGGTAGGTAACTCTCGGGTGTGGCTTTGCATTCTTTATTAATTTTCATCATGACCTCTGCCAAGTCTGTGAACTTTTCATGCAGGCTGACACAAAACTGAGACTCTGGTAGAAAACTTGTAAAAACACATGCAATTGGTTTATTTAACGGCAACTTTTCTGTGGCTACTTCAGAAGGTGCAATGGCTTGTGAAACTATTGGCGATGGTCCTTTTGGAGTTTTGGGCGAGTTTGTATCAAGTTTACGAGGAACTTGTTTTTCTTCTGTTTCTTTAACATCTGTTTTAGGCGCCTTTTCTGTTTCTGCTTGTTGAGTTTCTGTAATAGAGAGTGCTTGCTGGAGAACTTCATTGATATTCATAGAATCAGACATTATAACAGTCACTCTGTAAACACCATCAGTAACACTGGAAGCCTGAACACTCAATTTGTCCTCATGTAATATACCTTCAAGTTGAGTCTGTTGATCTTTAGAAAGAGGTGCATCTATACCATCAAATGAACAAGTGATGGCTTGAGCTGGTAATTTGAGATGTCTTGGATTCAATTTACGTATTTCTTTCACAGAAACATCACTGTTATTGCCATAATCTATGAAGAGAACTGTTATTTTATCATCCAGGATATTTAAAACCTCAGCCCGATACCAACTACCTTCAAACAAAGCTGCTACATATTCTCCAATTTTAGGAAGATAACTTTCTTCTGATGCTGAACATTGTGTGTTGATTTCAGTTATAATCTCAGCTAGGTTTCTCAAGTTTTCAAATAAACCAACACAAAATTGAGATTTGGGAAGAAAACTTGTAAATATACATGTGGTAGATTTATTCAAAGGTATCTTTTCTGTGGGTACTTCAGGGACAGAAACTGCTTCTATTTTTGACTCTGAGACATTGGGAGGGGCACTTGGTTTATTTTCTATAGTGTCTGATACGTGTATCTTTTCAGCATCAGCAGGTTGAGTTTCTGTAATAGAGAGTGCTTGCTGGAGAACTTCATTGATATTCATAGAATCAGACATTATAACAGTCACTCTGTAAACACCATCAGTAACACTGGAAGCCTGGACACTCAATTTGTCCTCATGTAATATACCTTCAAGTTGAGTCTGTTGATCTTTAGAAAGAGGTGCATCTATACCATCAAATGAACAAGTGATGGCTTGAGCTGGTAATTTGAGATGTCTTGGATTCAATTTACGTATTTCTTTCACAGAAACATCACTGTTATTGCCATAATCTATGAAGAGAACTGTTATTTTATCATCCAGGATATTTAAAACCTCAGCCCGATACCAACTACCTTCAAACAAAGCGGCTACATATTCTCCAATTTTAGGAAGATAACTTTCTTCTGATGCAGCACATTGTGTGTTGATTTCAGTTATAATCTCAGCTAGGTTTCTCAAGTTTTCAAATAAACCAACACAAAATTTAGCTTCTGGAAGAAATGATGTAAATATACATTCTATTGGTTTGTTTAGGGGCAACTGGACAGTTAACACTTCAGAGGTGGTAGGTGAAGATGAAGTTGTTGATGGAGAATCTTCTGGAGTTTCCAGTTTTAATGATGAAGTTGATTGAGTATCACTGACCTCGACTTGCGACTCTGATAAAGCTTGGAGTATGATTTCATTGACATTAGTGGAATCAGCTAAATTGACCACAACTTTGTAGACTTTGTCGACAACTGTTAAGGCTTTAACGTTGAATTTATCATGTTGGAGAACAGTTTCCAATTGAGTTATTTGTTCACTTGATAAAGGGACATTTATACCAACAAAGCAACAGTGAATAGCTTGAGCAGGTAGTTGTAAATGATCTGGATTCAGTTTTCGGATTTCTTTCACAGAAACTTCGCTTGTGTTGCCATAATCTAGGAAATAGACAGTAATTTTGTCTCCATCTTTGATGAGAGTTCTAGCACGGTACCATCCTCCTTGAAACAAGGCACAGATATATTCTCCAATCTTTGGTAAATAGCTCTCTGATGTCCTCAAACATTCCTCATTGATTTTAGTCATGATTTCAGCCAGAAATGGAAAATTAGTGAACAAGCTGACACAGAAATGAGAATTTGGTAGAAAACTTGCAAATACACAAGAAACTGTTTGATTCAGTGGTAAAGATTCAGTTTCACATTTTTCTAGTTTCTTTGGTGATTGAGCTACAAATAGTGGTGAAGGACTCTTACGATGTTGATTTTCAGATTGTTTGGTAGTTACTTCAGCTTGACCTGACGATTGTTGCTGTTGGTAACTAGCTTGATCTATACAATCTCTTAAAATATCAGATACACATCTGCCTTTATTGTCCAGCAAATCCACAATGGCCACATCTCCTTGTACATCGACAACTTTAGCCTTATATTTACACTCTAGTCTTAAACTCAGGTCTGAAAATTTCTGGTCAACAACGTCAATGTAAGATGGATCAAAAGTCTTGACGTCTTTCAGTGAACATTTAATAGCTTGAGCAGGGTAATCCACCTGTTCTCCTGATAATGGTTGGATATTAGACTGTATGATCTCTTGCTCGTCTCCATAATCCAAGAAATATACTATAGCAGCAGCGTTGGTCACTTTCAATACAACAGCTCTATACCAATGACTATCAACATATTTACATGATACTATCTCATCTACTTCTGGTCTGAAATAGAGAAGAATTCTAAATTACTTGGGACTCAATAGACCAAAAATAAAATGGAAATAACCATTCCAATTATCAACATTTTATTGGCATTTATTGGCAAAGACAGATCCAACACCAACCTTCTTTTTTCTGCAAGTGGCAATAATGAAATGCAGTCTCACATCCGACTTTTCTGCACCTCATTGACTTAGGAAGAAAGGCAAAGCAATGCAGTGTGCAACAGAGTTTCCAATTGTAAAGAGTTCTATTACATTTCACAATCGCAGGAAAATAGACTTGGTATACTGTCCAATCCAAACAACAAAATGCTTTTCCCTTGACAGCCCCTACTATGTGCTAAAGGCACTTCTAAAAGAGAGTCTAAATGTTAATTGGAAAATTCCAATTCTTCAAATTTTAAGAAACATTCTGTATGATCTTTACCTGTATTGATTGATAGAATTCTGTTCACAGACTCTGTCTAATTCTGTAGTGAAGGCATCAAGAATATTTCTGTAAGTAGGTTCATCAATCTGTGCCTTGAAATCTCGAGGTGATTTGGCTATAACTATCAATAACTTTATCTCTTGTCCTGGTTTTAACTCCTGTACTAATGTTTTTATATGTTTACTATACACTTTACTTCTACAATAGATAAAGTATCTTTGTAAAATAAAGTTCCATGACAGACTGTATTGCTTATCAGACCTGCTTATCAAGTTAAACTGCTTTCTTTTCATTCTTTCATTGCCATTTAGGACAAAAATATCAATGGCCAATGAATTGAAGAATATTACAGGCTATAGATTTGTGAGTTGTCTTTTGATAATTGTAATGTATTCATTATAAAACAACTAATTTTCAATCATATTAACCTTTCTCTTTGGGCTATGTTAGCTTTTATCATACTTTGAATTACATCTGCCCCTGTAAAAGAAAAACCAAAGTAAACCACAATGCCATATTTATTTACATTCAAACCAAGGAAAATACATCACATAATTGTTGCTACTTTCCAATTTTGTTCTTGTAAACATCAAAATGACAACTTCATGTGAATGCTAGATATGTTGCTTCCTCATATTTTTTAAGTTGGTTTCAAAAGGACCGATAAATTGGCTCTGTAAGCATCTCTTGCTAGAGACAGTTGGTTCATTGAATAAATCACTTCTGTTGTAGACTGAATCATACTAACCTTCTGATCCTTTCAATGTAACCAGATATTGAGTGTTATATTTCTGTTTTACATTGATGGTACATAGTGAATTAGGTTGTATATAGTTTAACAGGCAGTTTTTAGGCCAACCCTTCATATCTGTTGGATATATACCATTTATTTTACATTCTATAGCCTGCAATATAAATAAGTTTTCATGTTCTATATTTCTACACCTTTACCTGATATTCATGAGAATTTGTAAACTCAAACGTAGGTTTCTAACAATAATATGGATAAAGGTAACTTTTAGCTAGGAAATGCATGTCACATTCTAATGAATTTCATGAGAAAAAAATGTGCATATACTCAGTCTATACAAGACAGAGCCCTAAAGATAAGACAGGGCCTTAAACCATTTCACCCTGTTGAGAAGGTAGTAACTCAAGAGGGGCCTGAAGAGAATATGATGCAATATGCTTAATTGTCAGAAATTTTATCTTAGAAATTTCAATCTTCTAGGCAACCTGCTCTACAGCCCTGAATTAATGCTGAAAAAATAAAATATAACTAAAAGTCACCTACCAATGGATAAATTGTAGCCATATTTGGTGGAAGATAATGTAATCTTTTCAGAGGAACATTTTCAACATTGCCGAAATCAATATATGATATTTTAGCCATCTGACTGTCTGATGATAGAGATAAAACTTGAGAACGGCACCACATTCCTTCATATCTACAAGCAAACAGTTGACCTGATATTGGTGCTTTCTTGATAGTCGCCACTGGATCCTGCAAAAAAATACAATTCTTTGAGGCCTAACTTTTAAGCATGGTCCTAGTCAGATATTTTAGCACACAGAATAAGACTTATTGAGAATTTCAAGGAAGGAGAACTGAGTAAAATAAAAATAGAAATTGGATAATTTTAACAAAAAATATCATATAGGCCTCATACACAACCAGTACATTTTTCACTAAAAACAAACATGACTAGCAAACAGATAAAACATATCAATTTTCTATGATTCAGCAGTGCATAAATCCAACCAGCCAAAAATATACATAACTAATAAAACCAGTACTGAATGAGAAATTGATAATGAAAATCACATACACTGAGAAACTATGGACTGATTCTCCTAGTTCATACCTTGACTAAATTAATATGAAAGAAGTGTATTTTATTAACTCTCTTGGATCATTCCATAAGTTATACATACCTTTTCTAATTCTTGACTGTATACAAATGCATGTTCCATATCTTTAGTCTCACTGACCCAGAAACTATCTGGTGATTCTATATAGGTCACTATGGTCTGGAATAGAAATAGAGGATAATGACTCACTGGTGTAAACCTTGTTTGGGCTTTAAAAAACAGACATCAAGTAGTGTGCATAAGATAGGCAGAACAGCAGCATTAATCTACCCTGTTGGAAGGATATTTAACATGCAGTCTGTGGCACCTACAGCTCCTGTTTAACACAACATCAAAATAAATAAGATGTTTTTTAATTGTCAGGCCAGTATTTGCACACATCTTAATTCAATGCAACTCTTTATTAAATATCTTTTTATTAAATAAATACTTACCAATATGTCTGTATTCATAGTTATTACTTTATGTGGTAAATCTTTAAAATTTGGTATGGATATTTCTTCTTTAGTTCTACTATCAAGATCAGAATATCAGTATATTAATAAGCATATTTACTTGGTTGACAGTTCAAGCTGGGTGGTAACAAGATATCAGTGAATATAGTATCGCCTTATATATGGCTACTTTGATAAAACTGATTTGATAAATTATATGTTAATAATATAAGGAGCCTTAGCCTGAAAAATATAACTGAAGATGATTTCAGTGTTCCAGTCATCTAATTGGTTAATCACCCAATTAATTTTATATTCAGCTTTATTATCCAATCAAATAACTGTATTTTTTAATTTCATCCTAGTTAAGTTTTCAAGAATAAGGTTCCTGTACAATATGTGGTGATAGTACTAACTGGCGTTAAACCTTGTAGTGTTATAGAACTTAATCTGGATAGAACACATGCTTACATCTGGATTGTTGAAACACAACTAATATCATAGGTCACTTTCTTAATCCTATAAATTATCTCTGAACAAAGACTTACCTTTTACCAGGTGATTTATTAGGTGATGGTTTATTCTTATTCGGGGTAAGATTAGATTTGCGATTACTCTGTGATGGTGAATGTGTAGTTGGTGAGATTTTCTCTGGTTTAGGTGAAGAATGTGTTGGTGAAACTTTAGATATCATATTTCGATAACCTTCATCTGTTCTCTGAATATAAGATGTTAACTTCTTACCACATACTTGTTTGACAGCTTCACGATCTTCTTTTGGTAAATACTGGAAAACAGATGGCCAAAGTTACAAAATGAACTTATAAGATGGGAAGTTAAAAAATTGACCTTCTTAAGACATGTTAAAGAATGAAGTTTATGAAAATATTGTGTTCTAAAATCATGGAATTGATATGCTGAGTCTGGAGCCAATGTTCATGCAAACTTGTTTTAAAATACTCTCCCTTAGGAATGATAACCATTTAAAGAACAGTGGCAGCACTGGTTTCAGATGAAGCTTGAGCCTACACTTTCTTTATTTCCAAATTTCCATACAAAGGACTTGATACTTTTTCCATGTCAAGTAATTTAATCATGGTACCTCATAGATATCTTCACCAAGTGAAACTTCAAATCCATCATCTTCTACTGGTAGTTCTTTCGGCATTATACTGTAAAATATTAACCATATTACATTTTATTTATTGATAACCATGACTTGTGGTTTCCTTTTAAGCACAAATGGTACAACATGGACATCTAATTATTTTTTCACTTCAAATATTTCTTTAATATTATCTTTAATTTTAATTTCAAGTTTACTCAGGTAAATATTTTCATAATAATCACACGCATATTCAAAAGGAAAGATCAATGCCATTAAGTTGATGATGGCTTATTCTTTCCAACTCAGTTTTATCCAGCTGGGTACACTTTTCTTACCCATTTTCGTATTAAGAACATTGCAGTCCTACATACATACTTAATTGTATGCAGTACATTTTATTGGTTGGCGAGTAGGTAATAACTAATATCCACTTTCAGATAACTAATAGGTATTTTCTTTTCTTTCAACTCTCATTATACATACATTGTTAATTAGGTATAGTTAATTAGTTCTCACCTGACTTGAGCACAGATATTCTTATGTTTGGACCAATCAGCTGATTGACATTCTATACCACAATATGGCATTTTACATCGAGAACATAATGAACTTGCTACAAACAAACCATTGGATATTAGAGGATTATAAAGGCAAGAGCAGAAAGTGGTTAAAGAAGTCAGTATATTATGGATCTGTTGTAATTTTTGAATGGAATAGGTTTTTACAGCCTTTTTTTTCAGCAATCTATTGGGCTAATGAACTCAGTGCATTTAATACCAGGTAAGAATCATCTTTTTTAAAACTCGTTCAGCATATTGTGGATAATGCAGTCCATTAAACATATGTGACAAATTCTTTTATAGATCTTTGTGTGAAAAAAGGGAATTATATTGTCTACTACTTACCTAATTTACGACAATACAGACACTGTTTTCCACCATTATTTATAGTAGATTCTGCATAAAAATACCACAGTTAATTCCTCATAATACATCATAGCTCATAATTCAAAATGAAGGTTTAAAGAATTCTGCTTATTGAAATGTAATTTTAGACCCAAAACAGTATTAAAATGTTATTTTACTAGACTTTAAAACAGGTTATGAACGCTGAAGCCCTTTAATTGAAAAGTTGAACATTTTTTATTGTTAGTAGCAAAAGTGTGTTATGATCAATGAGATGCTCTATATTGGCAGGAAGGTGTTAATACTAACAGCGTGCTGTGATAAAGGACTAGATGGTAGTGCAATATTAATTATTAAAGATGACATGATGATACTTATACCAGGGCTTATACTGATCTCCAGGTTCGTCAAAAATATCAAAATTTTTCAATAATTGTAAACATACAATATCTAGAACTCCAGATGGTCGATATTGAAATATCACTATAAATATTTTATGCAATATTAATATACAGAGGTTATACAAATTGTATCATTCTGTAAATAGGCACATTATATATAACTTTGTCAATTGTGTTCGTCATCATCTATGGTCAAAATTGAAAACATTGCATCATGCTGATTTCAGAGGAAAAATTCTTTCTTTCAATGTAAATGAAACAAAGTTTCACATACTACCATTCTACAACTTATAAATATCATATGTTATATACAAGCCTCAATATAAGCCCTGGAATAATAGATGATAGAGCTCAGAAATAGAGAACATACCATAACTTGTCATTCTTTCATATAGACTACTATGAGGATTATGGGAATTATTATTTAAAGCTTGGGCCATACCTCGGTACGATTTCTCAGTAGCACTCAGATCTGTACTGATCAGTCCTCGTCCTACTCCATTCACTTTGGACGATTTCACTGAAAAAGTTATTTCAGGTGATCACGTATCAAAAGAGGGATTACACAGTTAGATATAGGGATTTAGTCTGTTTGAACAAAAAACATTGTCCAATTGTAATGTTTTTAAGTCTGATGTGTCTTATATAGGTAAAGACAATCTGGATTACGAGACAAGTACTGCGAAAATTAACCTATTATGTGCTCAGTAAATGGCAGTTCAATGTTAAGAGATTGATACAAATATCAGTCTCTGTCTTTGTAAAGATCATCCAAAGTTATTGTCAAGAGGTTTTCTAAACTATTCTATTCTATCGACTTGCACCAATTCAATCATTATGTTTGCTATTCAAAGAAACTTTAATAAACCCTTACCTTTATGAGCTAGGTTTGGTTTAACTTGTCTAGATTGGTTACCAACTGTTATAGTTAAATCAGATATACTACTATTACTACTAGACGGTACTGAGGAGGCTATCTTTAAACTCGGTGGGCCTTGTTTTATTATAGAATCATCTAAATCTGTTTAAATAAATATTTGGAAGAAACAGTAATAAAATCTAGTCCTAGCAGGGTTACAGCCATTTAAATATTTGCTTTATGGCACTTGCCAAGTTGGTCCAAAAAATATGATGTATGAACCAAAATGACAAATAAAACAACACAAGAGTCGACTTCATCAACAAGGGACTTTTATGATATCAAAGAATGAAATAGATTACCTGAAAGGCTAACATTAGGAATATCTATCATCAAGTTCTCATTTGGTGCTCTGAAATATCAATGTGGGAATATCATTGGAATTGAATACCAAATCATGTTCAATATGATAATAATACCCTAACCACATCACATTGCAACCTAAATCATTTCTACACAAACTGTTTTAATCAACTATATAATTAATCTATATAGTAAGATAGTTTCCCTTTTAAAGAGTCAAGATTTAATAATTGCATTTTACACTTAAAAGAAGACTGATCCAACATGTGCATTTTTACTTTGATGAAATCAAATTTCATTAACTAAGTTATAAAACAATCCACGGTTTATTTAGAATGTTGAAGGCTCAAAAAAGAAGGAAATACTTACCTGGCATTGTTATGTGTCCCATTGTAGTCACTTTTCTATTAAATACAAAAAGACAGAAATATTATATTTCAAGCCAAACCCTTTATACTGGGTATGTACACATTGTATAACAATTACAATACAATTACTACAGAAAATATAGATGATTGAGCTTATAGACAGAAATCACTATCCAGATCATGTTGGAAATGAAATGAAATGAAATACACCTTAACATGTAACAACCCCAGGCAATCAGTGTGAGCCAACATCACATTGAGCCCCAGTTTATTGTCACATAAAAATCACTATATGCCTTTCCATGTCATCCTCTCCTGCATAAGTGACAGGGAAAACAAGCTTGCAAAACAAGGTACTATGCTTGTTGGAGGGCAATGGACACTTACTGAAATCTGCAAGTCTTCATCACTATTATCTTGCTGTGGATTTTTGGCACAATTTAGGGTATTTAAAAACGCATCATCTTCCTACAATACAAAATATAAGAGATATAGTCACCAGCATCACTTTTGAAAAATCAGATATTGTAACAGAAAGCAAATTCTTTGGTCTGTACTATTATTTAATTCTGTACTAACTATTACTATGTGTCTGTGTAGTTTCAACCTTGCAATCTATATATTTATACAGGTATAATGAGGCATTAGATTGTTTTCCTGTTGTATGCATTTATTTTTTTCTTTGTAGCTTGATATATCCAAGTATATTTCATATAAAATGGATGTCCAAAAAGGGAAACCAAAATTCATCTGTTACTTACCTCTCTCTTTCGTCTTCTACGTTCTCTCTCTTCTTGTGATTGACAAGCCTGAACTCTCAGTCGAAATCTATCAATCTGAAAATTGTTCAATTTACTGATGGCCTCTGTTGCTTCTTTCAGATTACCCATTGTCACAAACCTAAATATCAGAATCACATATTATATTTCTATAACATTTAGTATGATCAACCACATGTTCTCATGAGCATATACATCATCAAGCGCAGTTATGAACCCATCTGTTATCATTATGTAAATGTGAGGTAAAATGTTTACATGAAACAGGACATCTAATTTCTATCTTTTGTTTATACTAGAATTTGGTGAAAAAGAGTACTCAGTTTATACGAAACTAACAATAGTTCTTTTTAAATTATTCACAAATAAACCACTCAAATTAAACAAATAGTAAAAGACCAAATACAATTATACCAACCCAAACGTATTTTGTGATCCGCTAATTTTAGAATCCATAATTCTAACATCTTTTACACTTCCGGTTTGCAGAAACAAATTCCTTAACCCTTCCTGAAATGACAAAAGGACACTTCTAGGGGTCGCTCGATTGGAGGTTCATTGAATCAACCAGTTGTTTCACTATGTCGAAAAAATAAGTGATTTTAAAAAGTGAAAGTAGAAATCATTTTTCATTTCTTATGGCCTGAGAGGGTCCTCTAAATATGCCACTGTATGGGGAATTTCCTGTTAATCAATAGGGTAACTTACAGGAGGTAACTGTATTGGTATACCAGTCACATACAACTGGACTCCAGCTTGTTTATTCTGATTTCTGAAACAAATCAACATTCAATTAGACAAAAAAGAATCAAAAGTAAAAGGTACATCATTGCAGTTCTAAAAATTGCGTAAATTAACACAAAATAGTCATAGATTCATTTGATGATCTGACATTTGTAAAGTTAATTTTAATTTTACAGTTTGTTCAATCAACTTCCGTTCTTAACAGGTTGTTTATCTATCTCATCTTAATTTTAAAAAATCTTTGCCATCAACATGTTTCTACACAGCCATCAGCTACTATTGAATATATTGCCAAAATGTAAATCTTGTCTTTTATTGCAACTCGAGCTTGTTACAAATTCAAAGATAAATACTGCTCTTCCTTTTTCTAAAAAACTTTTTTACCATCAAATTCTTACCCTTGAGGAAGATGTCTACCAGGACCTCTACTGTAAGAGTTGAAATTTGTGTCTTCATAATCTTCTTTAAATGGATTCCACTTATCCATATTGGAATTTTCAATCTACAATAAAGAAATAAAGTTATTTGACTCTAAATAATGGCATATGCCCACCAATAATGTACTGAAGTGAGCAATTCATAATTACGGAGGGTATGCTAAGATACTTGCCTTCAACAGTTAATTAGGTATCCCAATTAATCAATAAATCAATTGATATAGACTGTTCCACAATTTACCCTACCAAGAACTGATACTCATATTGATAATGCTGTCAAATACAGCTGAATTCCTTACAAAGCGTCAAATTGTTTCTTTCCTCAGATTTAAATCTATAGAATGGCAATTTGGCATATTTTAGCAACCCAAAAAATTTCTATTTTCGATTTCTGTTTTCTCGGAAGTGTTTCGATGACATTATCAAGAAACGCTTTCAGTTATTTCAACAAAGAACTTACAAGTAAATTATGGTTTGGAGTAAGTAAATTTTTTGTAAGTTGTTGGACTTGATTAGCAAAGCGCTTTTCCTTCCACCTCGTGCAGTATCAGTGGCACCATTTTCCTGCCAAAGAAGAGATAAAATTATTTCATTGGCTCATTTTTAACCAATCGAAAAGCAATATTTTCTTCGAAACTGTGGTTATTTTTAGAACTTCAACTGGCTCTGGATAATGATTAAAGTGAAGCTGGCAACAATTGTTTCGTAAATAATGATATGTGTAAGTTGACAAGTGACAAATGACAGTTTTGATTCACCGTTTTTTTCATGTGGAATACACTTTATTCTTTAAATCTATTTTCACGACACTGTTAGATTTTCTAAACAGACCTTGAATTAGTTCACATTGTATAATCTACTGCGTATGTTGATCATTTCTAAAATAAATTGAATGCATTGCGGTGAGGCTGATGATCATGATGATAGTATAAATAAAGTAAAAGTCAGAAATTAAAAAAAATAAAAAAACGAGAAGAGATGTGCATCTGATTAATCAGCAAGTTGTCATTATTTTAAGACTTATCCATCCCTGTTCTTCTCATGAGCATTGTTATTATACCAATTTATGCTATTGATAACTAAATTGGGCCTGTCTAAAATGTAATTAAGAGATCACAAGTCACAATGACAACATTGTAATTTATTTGGATTTAACAAGAATTCATGCAATTCATTTATGATAAAATTATTGTACTAGTTACTAGGGCTGGCTGTTTTTCTTTTCATAATTATATCTTTAGCTGCCTTTAGTCTGCTTGTTAGTAGATTCAAGGTGTATCTTGTGGGGATTTCCCATTGCTCTATTGTAGTATTGACTGACACTGTTATGGAGTTTAAGTCAACTTAGAGAGAGGTTTTTACTTGACTAGAATACAGGGATACACTTGGAACCCAATTAAGGTATGAAGTAGAGGCTCATTTCAACTAAATTTTATAAATTTATACCCAATATTTTTTCAGAAATGTCAAGTTGTATAATACTATGAGTGGTAGATTACCAAGTGAAAGTGAAGATATAGAGAATGAAAATCCTGAGTCTGAAGCAGATGTGGATATCGAAAGAGAAAATGTAGATCAGAGTGAAACCAGTGAATCAGCTGGACATTTCCAGCAAGATGCTCTTTCTTATTCAAATTCACAAAATGATGGTTGGGAGGCTTTGAATAATGTGGCACAAAATGGAGCTGTGAATGATAAAAATGAGAATAGTAATGTTGAATGTGAAGCTGTTGAGAGTGAAATGGTGCTTGACTCTGTTAATGGTTCACAAGAAGGAAATCAACTCCAGAATAATGTGACAAGTTGTAACAGCACCAGTTTTGACTGTGTTCCCCAGATACAATGTGAAGTGGTAAATAAGATTCCTGCAGACCAGGCCCCAGAATGTGACCAAGCTATGACTGATTCTTGCCATTCTTCGAGCTCTACTGCACAATCTCCAAATGACTTGGCAGCATGTGAGGGGCAGGAAAATAACCCAGAAGTTGTGAATTCTGAAAATAACAATCCAGCATCATGTCCAGTACAAGGACCAAATGGTGATTCCAATAACACACAAAGGCCTGAAAGTGATGAATTAGGTGCAAATTTGGAACTGGTACCTGAAAGTGATAAACAGACGTCATCTTCTAATTCTCAAAAGTCTGAGGTTGAGAAGCTACAAGAACAAGAAACAACTGCCAGTGAGGCAGAGTCAGCAAGTTCTGATAATGTTGAACAGGACAGTGCAAAATCTCCTGAATGTGATAATGTTATAGTTTGTGATAAACCTGTAATGAGTGATACAAAATCTCAATCCCCAGACCATGTTAATGGTGCCTCGGAGACAAGGTCTGCTGATGTGCACAGTAATTCCTTACAGCATGATCATCAGGATAGGGAAAACATTAAGATGTCTGTGATTGATACTGAAAAAGGTGCACAGAATTCAGAATCATCTAAAAATGTAGACAAAATTGGTGCACTGAATACAACCCAGAGTCAAAGTGAGCCTGATGCTAAAAATAAACCTAGGAAATTCCCTATTTCAAGGAAATCCCCTCCAGGAATTGACTTTCTTCATTTATCAGATAGTTCTGAGGATGAATTGTTAAATGAATTAGATGCAGCTTTGTTGAATAGATCTCATTCTCAGAAAACAACACCAACTAATTCAGCCAGATCAACCCCAAAATCTAAACCTGTTATGCAAGAAGAGAAAGTACCTATTATATCATTAAGTGAACAGACACAAAATGGATTCAAACAATTTCCATTAAAAAATTCTCAAATAGCTCAAAATGTTGAAGAAACAATAGAATCTTTGAAGAAAGAATTACAGAGTAAAAATGAAGAGTTGAAGTCAGCAAAGTAAGATTTACAAATTTATATTTATCAAAGGTTAATTTGGTTTATATGTGAAGGCTTACCATGACAGAGAGAATCTAATTCAAATGAAGAAAACTTGGGAGACAACAGAAGAATGAGTAGGCTTAGCAGTCTCATATTGGAAAGTTAACCCTCATTTCCCAATTATATAAGCTTGTCCAAAACATGAACTTGTGTCAATATCATTAATATTTGCTTTCTACTTCATAGAGTATATTCAGAAACACTACAAGATAAGTTTAAACAGTTTGAAGAAGAAAAGAAAATGCTGGCTACAGAAGTTAAAATGTTAAGGGAACAAAATGCTGATAATTTGTATTTACCACAAATAAAAGAGGTAAGTGTGTTTTAAAGCTCATTTTCTGCTAGGACATGAAAAAATTAATTATTTATTCAACCAGTCAATTAGTTAAGAGGAATAAAATCCTATGGACTATAACTGCTCTTTCGTGGTTGGATTCAGCAATTAACAGTCAGCATAAATTTAAAAGAGTTTCCAAATTTCCTGATAGCTGAAAATCAAGGATAGAGTCAGAAAAAAAAAATAGTCTGTTATGCCATAATTGATCTCATTAATTTTTTGTTACTTATTAGATGGAGAAAACCATAGCTTCACAACAGAAAGAAATCCAACAAACCAAAGAAACTTTAGCATCTCATGACAACATGGCCAAACGTAAAATAGCTTCTATGCAAAATGACTATAAAGCTAGAATAGACCAGGTAAGGTTTCTATCTTTGAACATGAATCTAAACATTTGATGTTTTGAATTTTCGATATTCACAACAGATGGAATGACATGTTGTAATACTTGCCGTTCATGGTAAATGATTACCTGTATGACACACACAAGTCTGGTCATGGGGTGAATTATAGCATATGAACAGGACAATGTAAATGAACCTTAAAACATTGACTAGATTTATATGCAGACCCCTAAACAAACAGACTAAACAACTTTCTTTTAAAAGACTTCTTTATTACTGTGATCATAATCATGATTTGAAATGCTCCAGGTTACCAAGATGTATGAAGATTGTTTAAGAGAGAAAGATACCATGGTAGTGAACTATGCTGTGGCTGAACAGAAAAATATTGAAGCTAAAAAAGCTACAGAAAGAGCAGAACAGAAATATAGAGACTGTTTAAAAGAACAAGAAGCAATTGCTAATAAATGTAAATCTTTTAAAGCTGAAAAACAGAAAGCTGTAGCAGATTATGAAACAAAGGTAAGCTCATATTCTACTACAAATAGACCATATTCATGCCTCGTTTTTAACACTCCGATTGCGATGTTGCATTACAAATTAAATCATTTATTGAAAAGATGAAGAAGTCATGTGAACGAATTACAGAAGGTAAAGTTCAGACACCAATTTTTATTTTTTTTAGAAGAATGCTTTGCCTTGAAATTTCCCTAGATTGCAGCCTATATATGGTGCATAATCACCTAGCACAATCTGATTTGATGTTTAACTTTGATATTAGATATTGTTCTTTTTGATGATGTGCTGAAATAAAAAGAATTTTAAACTTCATGTCAACATCAATGAAATGCTAATATCAATACATTATCTGTAGTGTTATATACCGCAAAGAAAAGAGAGTATTGGAAAGAGGAATTGTATTAATTAGATGTTTTTTCTGACATAATCAACAAGTATTAAAGAGTCATATGGTAATAACCCTGTTAAAACTTTTCTCACTGGAAGATTATTTATGTTTCAGCAAAATGAACTGTCTGGTGCTTGTAAAGAAATAGAAAGAATGAAAGAAATGCTGACTTCAGCTGATGTCAGAATTAAATGGGCTCAAAATAAATTAAAATCAGAACTTGAAAGTCACAAGGTAGGTGAAATTTGTCAAATGTGCTGTGTTATAAGACATAATAACATTTTTTTTTATCTTAGCTGAGGTTTTTTATATCAAGGGCCTGTTTCAGAATGCTTTAACTAAAAGTCATCCAGAATTTTAAAATATGCAGCTATATGCTATCTTCTGTCTGAGCTTTCTTAAATTCAATGACACATTTTTCTTACAACCACTTTCACCTCCTAACAACATATCAATTCATAGTTACTTTAAAACAGTTATATGTTATGATATTACAGGAAACTAAGATAGAACTAGAGAAGACAAATCAGAAATTAAAGATGGCAAGAGAAGAAACATTACAAATAAGAAAAGATTGTCAAGCCATTATTAAAACTTACCAGGTAGGTTGTTGATATATATATATATAAATATTTTCTATGCCATTGTGTTTAAGAAAATGATATGATTACTAATAAAATATGAGACTAAATGGGATTCAGAGTGGACTAACTTAGTTATCTCAGTGTTTTCTCAAAAAGTGTTTTTGCTAATTCGATTACTCGACAATTCCAGTTATGATTTATTATTTAATAAATGTTGGTCAACATGATGTAGATTTATTGTAATTATGCACATATCTCGTTAGTGATAATGAAGCTTAAACTTGAATTCATTAGCGGACAACTTGTGGAAAATTATGGCGATGAAAAGTGAAAGTTGTTAGTCATAAAAATCTATTGACTATCAACGGTACAAAAAATATTCTGATTAATCAAGTAATAAGATGAACTGATATATTATAATTTATTAATGTTATTGTAGGAATCAGAGGAAATAAAGTCTAACAGTTTAGATAAAGAGTTGAAATTAAAGGAATCAGAACTGATTGTACAAAGACAAGAGAAGAGTGATTCACAGGAGGTAAGTCTGGTCATATTTTTATCTTCATCATTATATCTAAATTCATTATTAATTACGCTTGAGAAATATCCCATAGATCAATGAAATATTCCTAATAATGTAGACTTAAATAAATTATGAAAATTTTCTTTCTTGAGTCAGCCTGGTGTTGCTTTCTCTTACTGACCACCAAAGAAATATCAGGAAGATGATTATATATGATAATTACAGGTATATAATATGACAGTGAAAGAATTAGAGGTATTAAAAGCTAAATATAAAGATGCTGCAGCAGAATTAAAAACATTAAGAGATAAGGTAGGATAGATATCTTAGGAGTGCACTTTATAACAAAATTTAACAAAATCTCTGTCTTTATATTAACTTGTTATTCAATTATTAAATGTTAAAACTGAAAGCTGCAGAAATTTGCAAAAAGAAGAACAAACAAGTTAAATGTTATTGATTATATTAAAGTGATTGTGTGTGTGTTTTTATGTTTTATAATTTGAAATATTTATATCATAGTCAGTCTAAAAACACAACTTTTTTTCCCAATATGGCAACATATGTTTATTATTAATATATATTAGAATTTTTAAAAATATTATAATATTTCTATATTTGAATATTTATATATCACACTATAATTGATGTGTTTTACCAGTGAAAATATTTTATTATTGTGTTTAAAATTGTATGTATATTATGTAAAATTTTATTCCTATGAATTATTGAAAGGGGTAAGAATTTGATACCTCCTCATGCTCTGAGATTAATTGGCTATTGTTTCCATTGTGTAGGTATACTGTTTAGAAAGTGAAAGAAAAGATAATGAAGAAACTATGACTAAATATCAAGAAATTATACAGAGTCAGAAAGGAGAGAATAAAAGTCTACTAGATAAACTTGGTAATCATGGTCAGTTAAATGATGATTTTGATAGGTATGTTACTATCAGCCAATGTTTATCAAGATAAATTGTTACTTATTTGGTAATGTGAACCTATTTTATACTTTGAAAAGATTCTTTGGTGGACTTCAGTTTATATTTATTTTTATATATAAAGTAATTTTCTCTTTGAATAAAATGTTTTCAAAGCACAAAATTGCTACAGATTGTACATTTACTGTTCACATTTATTGTATTCAGTCAGAAATCTTCATTCTTGACTCTGAATAGTTGACAAATACTGTATCAACATTACTAGAACTGCAGATAGGATAAACTTTTATAAGGGTTAACTGAATTCATCTCTGCAAGCGTGTAAAGCTTAGATGACTATTTATATCCTTTCCAATAGAGATTTAACACTTTTACATTGACCAATACAGGTAATATTATATACAGAGTAGGAGTTATTATTTGTGTTACTTACCTTGATTTTGCTTTAAATCACCATTCTGGAAAACCTTAAGTCACCAGAGTTCTATTGAAAAGTTAACCTATCCAATAAAGTTTATTAGGTACAAATATATCTTTATCATAAGGTCAAATTCTTCCTGTATCTAATCTGATACCGCCCATTTCATGTTGCACTTGATATTGTCTATATATTTCTTGTTATGCCATGTTTGATATTGTATATATGTCATGTTATTGTATTTTATAGAGCACAAGATATGATAAAAACACTAGACAGAGAGATATCAGAGTTACGTATTAATAATAAAGATTTACAGAGTGATATAGAAGGCTGTCGAACTAGAGAGACAGAGTTACTAGATTTAACACAGAAACTTAGTAGAACCAATGCTAAATTACAGTCAGAAAATACTAATGCCAATAACCAGGTAAGATACTAATTTCTTTGTCTGTATTGCAGTTTACAGTAGATGCTCTGGATTTTGATTAGCATTTAGATTGCCATCTTCACAATGTCAAGCTATTACGAACTGAGTCCAATACCTTGACTGCAAAGGCCACCTTTCTTATATCAAATTCGTTTTTAAATGCAGTGACTTGATTGGATTGTACGCTAGCATGAATACAGCCAATCAGAGCCCTTGATATAAAGGCTGTAGACAATTTTGTGCTCTTTTTATCTGGGACTATGATTGGCGGTATTTGGTAGCATGTAATCCAATCAAATTGCTGCATTTATTAACTTCTGCAATACAAGAAAAGAGCCTTATGAAGTCAAGGTGTGAAACACAGTTTAGTTAGCTTGACATTGTAAAGATGCTTGGTCTCTGATTCACTCATATGGACTGATTTATATTTGTTATTTTTTGTGTAATAATAAATTGAAACTAAACAACATGTCTTATGAATAATTAATCATTTAGCTACTTCCAGTCTGAAAATGCCTTGTTAAACTGAAATGACAATTACCTATAAATAATAAACAAAACAAATATCTATTTATCTGTTTTATTGAAGGTTGTATCACTGAGTGGTAAGAATAGTAATATGGAAATGGAAATTCATAATTTACAAGCTACATGTAATGAATTGGTAAATAAAATTCTTTGTTTTGTCTTGCCTTTTCTGTTGCATATCCTACATTTTCAAGTTGAGATGAGTTCATTTTCATTACATCTCTAAAAATTGTCAGCTTACAATGACAGCTTAAGAGTATTTGACCTGTACAGTCAAAAAAAACAATCTATCCAATGATTTGGTTATATTAGTTGCTTTTTGTTTTACAATTTTGAAATTCACTCCCGGAGAAATTTGCTCACTCAAGAATGCAGTTGCCAATACAACTCTGTTTATATTATATATTATAGAGTTCTAGACTGGCTGAAGATGGTAATAAATTTGAAAATGAATGTACAAGGTTAAAGGCTGAATTAACAGAGAAAAATATATCAGGTAAATTTCACTTTAACAAATTTAAATTTCTTCAAAATACTTCATATTATGTTGGTTGACTTGAAAGGTGAAGTCAACTTTTAATTATAGTTTTAAAGACATATTTCCTAAAAGAATTAATCAGTTCAATGTTATATACTAGGACACTGTTATATATATTCTTTTGATGAAATTGCTGGTTTTACAGTATCAGAGTTTAAACAAAAACTAGAAGATGAGAAAGATTTAAATAAAGTTTTAAAAAGAAAACATGCTAATAATGTCAAGGTAATATTATTTTAAACTTTATTTTATAAGCTTACCTTTAAACTGTTTACTTTGGAACTACTGACACAAAACAATGGAACCATCATTGTTTTAAGGATAAGAAAGTGCAGTTCACCTACCCACGTGATCTTATGTTTAATCGTGCCATGAATCAAGATTAATCTCTGACTTATGTCTGTAATACGTGAAGTATTAAGTATTAGTTATACATCTTTGTTTACATTTTTAGTTACCTTGAGTTTTGTACTGAGCACTTTATTTTTCATGTTATGAGATAGCAACATTGTATGTAATCCTATACCTAAATACATGTCTCTTGATGTGTTTGAGTGTACACTATAACATATTATTGTCTATTTTAGGATATAACACGTCAATTACAACAGGCTAGAAAGAAACTGGAATCATTTGAAAATCATCATGGAGAAAAAGATGGGACTAGTTTAGGATCACGGACTAGTTCAAATGGTTCATTAAATACAATAACTGATCAACAAACTCATCAAAGTGGAGTAAATAATAATAACAACCCACATTCTGCTACTAATCCTCATCATACAGTACAACCTCGACCACCAGAACCAGTATGTATTTTATAAGTTGAAAAAGAACTTAATTGAAAGATTTGAGTTCCAAATCAAAGCTAGTTGAGCTCCAAAAGCAAAGTATTTCCACTGAGCATCAAATGGTCTATATCTGGGGGTGTAGAAGTTACTGCATGTACTGTGAAATAAATTAGACTTGCTTTGGGGTCACGAACCGTGTTACAGAATACTCCAAGTCTTGTGTGTTTGGTCCTTGTTCTGTGCTATGAATGTCATTAGTATATGCAAGTTATATCAAATTAACCATGATATACTTTATATATAACAGGAATATCCAGTGATAACAGAGCAAGTAGAAGTTGATAAACAGGTATTAATAGAAAGAATTGTCAGATTACAGAAAGCTCATGCCAGGAAAAATGAAAAATTAGAATTTTTACAAGACCATATTCACCAGTTAGTTGATGAGGTACAGAGGAAGAAAAAGTAAGTCTATATTCTGATCATTTCTACCATATTTCACTGTAGCAGGTTAACCATGCATAAGAGACTAAGGTAATAAATATTCAGGATATATTATTTTCAATTCAATATTTTAGAGTACAACCCTCTATCATATGAAAAAGTTTGATTTGAAGACTTACAAATCAGTGCCTCATATGAAGTTATTTGGTTAAAGTACACCATGGTCTGATCTACTTATTGAAATGAGTGTTGATCTTCAGTCTGAGATGTGGGAACTGAGTTTTGATGTGAAGTGCTAGCTTCAAATTTTCAAAAATTAATACACTACTAGCCTAAATTTGGCACGTTGCATTTACTATCCAACCTATCTAAAGATACTTGATATTTTCTAGAATAATCCAGAGTTATATATTGAGAGAAGAACAAGGAGCATTAGCCCCAGAAGCAATGGATGAGAATAAGGTTGGTGTACAATTGAAGACTTTTTAGGATGCAGATATATGATCAATGAATACAAGCACCTGTTCATAGGAACAATGAGATATTAAAACTTAGAAAGTTAACCTGTTAACTGTTAACATCAATTCTTACTTAAATTCCATTTACTGTTGAAAATTAGCTTGTAATTGGCTCAATATGCACAGTACTATTTTTTGCTGGATATCTTGTCTATTCCAATATCTGCATTCCTATATGAGAGTCTGTGGTGAACATAATATATATCTTTTGGTCTGGGACCTGAGGAATATAACCACTGTTTGTTGTCAATATGTATTTTTACCAATAAAAGGCAGAAATGGCATTGAGTATAGGCTGTTCATGCTTAATTGTTGGGAGACACCTGACAATCGGCATTTCTTTTTTGCAATTTATCTGCACTCTTTGAATCCAAATATGGATTTATTTAATCAAGGTCTTATATGCCCAAGATTCATTGAAAATGTATGTTGGTATTCAACATTACTTTGCTATTGAGCAGAATAATTGTACTCAATGATCGTTAAAAATTGATCATAAAATATTGATTGAAATAAGAATGCCTGTTGCATGTTTTCTTACCCTGATATGTCTTTCTATACTTGGTTATGGGAAAACCCCTATTTCTATTTATATTACCTCTTTATTATATTCAAAACTGGGACTGGTATTTTTTCGGTATTTACTTTCAGTGTTTTTTAAAGAAATCTAATGCAAAAAGCTTATATAATAAAATGGGCCTCAATTCAGTTTCTTGATGACTAACCTCAATGTAATTCTTTTAGAGAATTTAATTTTCATTATCGATAATTTATATTTTCATATGTTTGACTACATGCTGTTTTTAATCAATATTGTTAATCATCACATTTTCATCAAAAGATGACATCTTATCATTTTCATAAAATAATTTTGAATTTAAAACGTGAAACCGTATTTTAGTAGAATCTGTAGTTTTGTAGATCTTTTTTAATATTTTTCTCTGTTATATTTTATTTATATAGATTAGAAGTAGCTTAGCATTTTTTAGTACTTTTTAATCTTTTTTATTAACTTACCAGCATGATTAACTAACATTAATTATCCATTTTATTTTTCTAACACAGAGATCTATGATTAGGAGTGAGGTTCAGGTAGGGGGCCTTAACCATTTACAAATAATTCTAATATTTATTATTTACTTTCACCATAAGGATATATGCTTACTAAAATTTATGTTAGGTCGCCCTCACACCATAGCACTCAACAGCTGCGTATGGTTGCGAAAGAGAATAGCACTCATAAGTTTTGAACGCAACTCTCATGCAACCGTGTTGTGAATTGCGCTCATAACAATGGCCACTCTCGTTATTCGCAACTATACACAACTGGTAATCGCTACATATGGTGTGCGGGCACCTTTAAGAGTGTGATATCCCATGACCCAAAAGTACTAATGTCATCAATATTTGCTATTGCTGCTATTCGTTCGATGGGCATTGCTTATAGAATAATATGCAACAGGCATTTTTATTTCACATATATATATATAAATTCAAAGAATAAATGTATATCTGTTGATATATAATACAACTAAATCAAAGGCCTGATCACAATATAGATCTGACAACTTAATAAAGAACTAATATTGTATTATTCTAGGCACTGCTAGCTAAGAAAGGTGGTATAATGGCTTCTTTATACAGTCATCATTCACAGGATGGTCACATGACACTAGATTTATCTCTAGAAATTAACCAGAAGTTACAAGGAGTGTTAGAAGATACTTTATTAAAGAATATCACCTTGAAGGTAATGTTTTAAATCTATTAATAAATTGTTAATCTTTCCTTTATATCTGATGCCACTACAGGGCCCTGTTCTACAAAAAATCTTATGATGAATTTTGTCGTAATAATGGTATTTCTCAATGTAAAATTCTACAAATTCTTATTTTAAGATTTTTTGTAGAATTGGGCCCAGGCCCGTAACTATTTTATTTTTTTAAGTTATGTATCCATTGCGAGGCTTTCAGTAGACTTTAAACAGTAATTCCCTTTACTGAGGACATCAAATAAGCGATATTTTTAGCAATATGGTATTTATTTTATGTATAATTTGTTGTATTTCAGGAAAATATAGATACACTAGGAACAGAAATAGCCCGACTTTCAAAAGAAAACCGACAAATACAACTAAAACTTCAATCTCAAAGATAGACTACTGTCTCTATATAAACAGAGAAAGAATACTGAACTTAATAATAAGTATATTATATATAATATGGTATAACAAGATAATATATTCAGAGGGGAAGTATAATACTGAGAGGTAAAAGAAATGTCATGTGTATGCATCATATATATCCATCTTTACTTTCAAATGCTTTTGTATGTGAGTAAAGACAAGGGAAAAAGTTGGATTGAAATTGACATTAAGACCATAAAAAAGGCAGTAGAATATTAAATAAGTCTCAGTATTTTCAGAAGTGACATTGCTTTTGCCTTCAGTATACCTGGAATATTAAGATACTATATTCTATTTTGGCAGTATATATATTTCTTCTTGTAAAATATTTTCAAAAACTGTTTTCTTACACTTGTATATTTCACTTGTCATTGTCTTTTAAATCTAGTATTTCAGATGTTCTCATTTCAAAATATGACACTTTAAGATTTTTAACCAATGATAACACAAGTTTTAGTTTGATTGTCTAAGTTTGCATTATATACAGTATAATGAAGCTTATCCCAACAAATCTGGCGTGATGTACAGATGTGATGTTGTCAGAGTTGAATCCAATCTAAATTGGATCCCTAGTTTATGAGAGTTTTCACAAGACAAAAACCAAATTTGTCATAGCTTGTCATGTTTCAAAACCATTCTTTTAACACTCTTTATCTTGGATCTCTATATGTTTGCTAAAGACAAGGTTATAATATCTAAATATCCAGTATCTTGTGGTTTATTTGTCAAAGGCTTATGATTAAATATCAATAAAAATGTATATTTCGGTATTATTATGCATCATATAAAGTATTATTATAAATATATAATCTTAGTATTGAAATATTAGCTATTCTAAAAATATTCAATAAAAAAAAATCCTTGCCTGTTTTAACAAAACCTTTACTTTAAGATGACTTTTTTGCTCGTATAATCTTGAACAATTTTAAAGTTTGCAGTAAATCTAAGAAAGGTTTTTAAATTTATCCCTTGAATGAGATAGACGTATCAAAATTAATTCGGAGAGTAGCCATTTGATTAATGATAACACGGAAAATATGAAGGAGAGGCCTGTTTAACGTTAGCATCTGATATCATAAACAGTCTTGTTAGAAGTAGATATACCTAATTATAATATGATATAGTGCAATAAACAAGTCAAATCAAAGTATATTATATATAACTATATATACATGTAGCTAGTAATTACCCTGGAGATCTATACCTCAAGCAGACTGTAATACCAGTAGTTGAGCCAATATAGTTTTGATCACCTACAAGCAATTTAAAACCTAGGAAAGTAATCTTTGACAAAATGAATTAATTAAGGTCTGAACCTAATTTAATCAGTTATGAAAATTTGGCACTTTCAAGAATTCTGATCTGTGTAGCAGCTATTGAGACTAATAGACCTTATTCACGTCCTTGTTTTTGAGACACTGAAAGCGAGGTTCATAACAAAAATTACGTCATCCATTGATAAGATGGCGAAGTCATATGAATGAATAGCCAACATGACGTCATTAGACACTCGGTCACTCATTCAACAGAAAGAAAATGAGCTTGAAACTGCCTTTTCTCGACATTGTGTGAAGGTAAAATTTTTATGGTCCTCGTTCTTGACTCAATATGGCCGACTCATGAATAAGGTCTATATGCTATTAAATTATGTATATTTTAGTATGTAATTACAGTAGTCTGTTTAAATTATAGAGTATATTATAATAGGGTGTAAGTTAGATTGATTATGTACATGATGTAGTTTGATTCATAATATATCAATGTATATCTGAGGAGTGGGGATAACTAATAGCACTGATTTGTGCTATGATAATCTGTGGTGGTTTTAATTCAAATTAAACTAAAGGTTTTATGGCCTTACTATCACAAATATCTTTAGATGTTATAAGTTGATTATCAGAAAGTGACGTCACAATATGCATTGTTTCACAGGAATTGCAACACAAACGTTTGCCTGAAAATTGGAATGGTACACTTTGGTGCTATAAGTATTTACAACACAATTATTAATTTAAAAAATTCTCTTTAGATATAACTGGCAAATACATGTATAGCCAAATATAAACAACCCTTGTTGGTACTCTTCTATGGTGTTATAAGATTTGGATAAGTTCATTCTTGCTATGTTATTCACATTCCATGGTTTATAGAATTGCTAGAAAGATAAGTTAATGTTGATTATACCACAAGTATTTGTTATGGTAGCCTCAATATTCATTGTGTTCATTTTTAGTTTAATTTCAAACCACAAGATTCAGCTACCAGCAAAATGTTACTGTTTTTGTAATACAGTACATACGAAACTATGTATGGTTTTTACATAGAAATTCGGTATGGTGTTACTGTGTTTCTAGTGACAGTGTATATCTCTTCATATTATCTTTACAAGGTATAAATTACAACTTGATCTATCTCAAGCCCTGATGTACCTTTTTGTCATACAGTATTCTATAATTTTAATTCTGTCAGCTTTTATGAAGCGAATAATTGGACAACTGTATTCATATCAACTAGTATTTTTGATTGATAAAGTTTCATGTTAAGAGAGAGAATGTTCATGTTTTGATTTATAAATCTGTTTCATATTGTACAGTGATGTTATGATTGTACAATGTATAGTTTTTGTTGAATATTAGATATTTTAGTCTTTAGCATAGTTTATATTGTATATATAAAAAGGTAGCTGTGTTTAATGGGACCAAATCTTTATTATCTATTCTTCTAAAACATGTTTTTAAACAATTTATTCACTGATTATAATCTGATTAAAATATAGATCTAGCGGTTGATGGTATCTATATTATTTGTAGTAGATTACTCTTGCACTAACCTAAAAAAACATAAATAGATCTGCATATTGATAAACTTTGACAGATGTCAACTTTGGGCTGACTAGAAAGTAAAAGGTAATCAATCTCAGTAGAATAAGTATGATTTAATTTGCTTTGAACTAAACAATTTCTTTATGGGCCAATTGAAGTTCTATGAAATAAATTTGTTTGATTTGAATAATATGGGTGCCCCTCATGTTGCTGATATTGTATGTATGTTATTTGTTTGTCCTTTGATTTTCAATTGAATGTTTAGTTTCCCTATTAAGACCCATCACACCAGACTGCGTCTATTTGCAATTGGTTCCTTAAAAATACAAATTTTTCAACCTGAGACATATGCAACCACATTGCCTTCCCAAGTCACGTTTCTAATAAGATCTATGGGCTCAGTGCACTTCACTTTATTGGAGATGCTACGGTGATTGTCTAAAGACATTCTCGATTTCGTGGAGATCTCAGCTGCATTTATTGATGCCTCCTTCAGGCTTATACCACACTTATTTCGACCTAAACATGTTCTGAGCTAATTTTCCATCGCTGTAGCAGCTCAATCAGGACGTCTTTCTGGTGTGATGGGGTATTAAGACTAATGTATGAAATAATCCTGATATTGTTAGTGCTGTGATAATTGCCAAATTTTATTCATTTTAATTTATTATCATTTTGTTCCTGTCATTGTTAGAAATCCATTTCAGGCTGCTCAGAATTTTCAAGTCACTTTCTAAATTTTAAACTTTTGATTGATCAGTTACAAATGTTATATTGTTAAACATAAAACAGCTGTAATTAAAAAAAATTTCATTGGTTTTGTCATAGTAAAATAGCATAAAGAAAATTGTGCTTAGAAGTTGTGACCGAGCTAAAATGAAATTTTACTTATTATGATGTTACTTACATAGAACCTAGATCTTCTGTTACCCAGCCCTTGTAAGCTGTAGATACACAGGCCTACATAGTCATATTATTAACAATATTTATTCATTACACAAAGAATGTTTCTTTTAAATGTATATGTTTTTTCCCACAATTTGAATCTTTCTTGTTACTGTTTCTTAAGCTGTAAATGCTTTTTTATTACTAATCATTATTATTGTTCTTTGGTGAGATATTTTGTCAACTCGATACAACTATGTAAAATTGGATGCAATGGTTGCTGTCTCCAAGAGTTGATTGCCATCAGTCAGGTGCTGCAGACAAGTGCTATCAAGAGCAGTAAATTAGTTTTCTCCAGATATTTTATTAAGAAACGTGCTGGCAAACCTGAAGGTTCAATTCAGATGTGATGCGGGTTTCACAAAAAGCGTCTAGTCATTAGAAATAACTGAAGTTATTGCACACTGCATGGTGTTAACTATCTTCATTAGCCCAATCAGGGGCAGAACAGTGGGATGTAAAACACTCCAGTTATTTTATCACAAGTTTGAATAAGACCTACATCCTACTTTTCTGCACCTTATGAAGAGCATCCTGCAGGAACCAACTTTATAATTTCCATTCCTGGTCAAGTTGACAACCTATCACACCAGTCTTGTTGTGAGAGAAGTTGTATTAAGATATATTTAATTGTATAATTGAGGGTGATTGTATATTTAATTGTATATTATTATTGTATATTAATATACTATATGTATATATTGAATTATGGTGTCAAATTATCAACGTAATAAAAATATGAAAAATACCAGAAATCATTCATTGTATTATCAATGTTCTTTGCCACGAAGATCAAGTTTTTTCAGTCTATAATGTTGTGTGCAATGGAAAGCTTTCTCAATTGAAACATTCACAAACCAATTATTACATTTTGGTTAAGTCAAGGGCAATAAATGTCCTCATAAAATATCTTTCTGATCAGAGATGTCATTAACATACAGTGGAGACGCCATCTTCCAGACTTGAATTGTTGCATTCTGACACTAATTCAGGGCGAAAACGTAAAAATCAAATTTGAAAATTTGATTAAAATAAAATGGGGGTGCAAACCATGTTTTTAGGGGGATACCCCCACTGGTGCTGCCATTGCGCATATGCATTCATCCATATCACATCAATCCTGTAATCTCTATTACATCATAATATGGGAATAAAAGCATTTTTTTCCATGGATAATTTCAAACTTTGATCAGAAGGGTTTTGGAGAAACATTGTATGGCACTAAACACAAGCTACTGGTTTGTAGAGAAACAACACTTAATAATATTTCTGTAAAAATTTATTAACAGTATATAAATAGAATTAACTTGATTGTATTGCTTGTATTTTCAGTGAACTTTCTTGAACAGTCAAACTCTGAATTGCTGACAATAACTCTGTACATCTGAAAAAACCCAAAAAACTTTGTATAAGAATTTGGTTGGATTTTAATCCCTTATGACAGAACAGAATGATAAATGTTTCAAAGGGCCATAAATGGCAAATGCAAAATGATACAAGAAACATGTTCAATGATGCCAAGGTAATACACAAAATTTGTTATAGCTGGACATTATGAAGAGGACTGAAGGGAAGACAAATTTCTAAACTAAGGGCTCTAGAGGCCATGGGTCTGTAGTACGCGACTGGATGTCTAATTCTTATGTAAACTCAAACTTCGTTTCATAAAATCGTTTTGTAATTTTACTGTAGCCTGTAAACATTCATTTTATTGCCTGCATAACGGGCTTACTATTGCATGTCTTTCCATATTATATCTGTGACTGAAGAATGTCAAAATGGAAACGGCAAATTTGGTTCAATACTTTGTGAGGGTATTGCAGGAAAAGATATTTTAGATGTCATGAATGACACCTTTGGAAAAAGTAACATTGCCAGTACATATTATTTACTAAATTTGAAATATCAGGCATTATTTCTAGAATTATCCCTAATTATAGATTGTTAATTTTTACTTTGTCATATAGGCCTATGATCAATTTAATCAATTTACAAGGCTTAAAGCTTATTTTAAAAAAAAGAAAAAAAAAGAATCAATTTGGAGTTTCAAATCATGAATTTACGCGCGTTGGAAAAATCTCCAGATTTTTCAAGGCAAATCTCCAGATTTTTTTTCCTGACCTGTACCCATGTATGGTCTGTACTGAATTTTCAAATACGAATACAGAAATAGTCCTACACCAGTCAATTCAAACCAAACCTACTTTTTTAGTTCTGTACATTCTGTATCTACCAGTTTCTGTGTAGTTTGTAAGGATTTAGAGAATAGGGATGTTTTGGGTACCTCTTGTCTTACTAAACAACTTATTTCTCCCAGTAAATATTCACTTTCTTTTAATGAACTTTCTAGAGCAGCTGAAAATGAATAATATTAATATTTCATAAAATTGTGAACTAAGGAGTAGTATACCATAAAATTGTGTTCTGTTATTTAATGTGATATTTACCACTAAATGTCACTAAAGGATTACATATATAATAGGAAGTGGAGTAAAAAGGTTTCGTACAGACAAGTAGCCTGTCGTTTGCTAGAAACTTTTTATTTTCAACAAACATACTGACATACTATCACCAATCATGACAACCTAATCACTGGCCAAACACAATTGGCTAAATTTCCTAAATTTGGCTTTACTTAATGGTTAAAAAATTTCATTATCACATGACCTTTTAACAAATAATTAGCATTAGTTTTTAGTTAGTTAGATCATATTCATTAAAATACATTTATCAGATTATACAGGGATTCTGTTGTATAGTAATGACTTTAGGTTAGTCCACGGAAATATACACTTATTAACCAAGTTTTATGTTTCATTCTAAGAGGTAGTATTCCTAATTTCTTTATTGACTGATTACCTTGGAATGTATCTTCATCCTCTGGTATATAAATACCTCTAGTTGATATCTGATGTCGTGTTGTATCTAAACTTTCAGCTAGTTTATTATAGTCTTTATCTATTACTGGTAGATTAGTCATCACTGGACCTAATCCATTCTTCTATAAAAACCAAAATTTAACTATGACAACAAATTGCAAACTTATGAATTATGACATTTGGCATGCTGTAAAATTGGTAGAATTGTAAGTCATGTCTTTACGTTTAATTATAACTGATATAACAATAGACATACTTTAAATGCAGAATAATAGTTGTGTTTATTATGGAGGACAATACAGAAACCTCTGTTGATATACAACTCATTAAGATCTGAATCTAGTGAAATTATTATACAGCTGCTAATCAATATCTTCTTCCATAATGGATATGGGCAAAAACCTTTAAATATTAGCTGAATCCAGAATCAAGTATTTTACCTGTATTTCTAGTTGGTCGTCAAGTTGATTTAAATGTTGTAATCGGACTAGATCCAGTCTTAATGCAGATTCTTTCTCACGTAAGCTTTCTACTTCTTCCCATAATGCATTCAACTGACTCTTTAAAAGGAAACCTAGTTTGTTATATCTTTTTATTCAAGAATTTGTGAATATTAATTTAATAAGTAAGAAATGTAGCAATTCTGTTTTTTGATTAATCTTAGTTTATTTACAAGGAGAAAGAAACACATAATATTCATCCAGACAGCAATTCTTCAAGCAGTCAATTTAGAAAGATATTGAACATAAATGAGTCATGAAACTGTTTTGTATAATTCAAGACAGTCAGATGTTCAATTCCTTGAAATATCAAATGTTTTTCATAAATTGACGACATTTTTTGTGGGGTTTAACAATTAGCAATGAGCCTTAATAATATTCAAGCTTATACAATTACTAACTAATTTAGTACAAAGCTTTTTCATATTTGATGCATTATTGAAAACAAATTATAACATATCACTACAAACCATGGCAGTTTTTTCTTGTTCTTTAAAAACCATCTTAGATTTCGAATCTAAATATAACCATTGTAAATATCTTGAATATAAAACTTCTAATCTTTGTTGTGAAGATTTTATATCCTTCTTCTGAAAGTACAGAATGTCTCGATCATCTCTACTAACTCAGATTAGATAAGTCAAATATTGGATGATCATCAAAATGAGGATTGAATTAAAGTACTTTCCTGATAACAGTTCAAAGAAGCCTATGTGTGTGACTAATCTTAAGCGACATTTACAAACAATTCTACAGTATACTCCTGTACACAACATTTCAACTTACATTGTCAGTCATCCTTTTGATATAATAATTTCAAATCAGGATATTAGTATACCATAAAATTGTGTTTCAATATTCAATCTTTCTTATTATCTTAAAGCTATAAAGTATCTGAAAACTGGACCCCGAGTATCACATATATAATTTAACTATTAGTTACTGGCAGAAATTAAAAGGAAATACTATAGAATAAGAAAACTTACATTTGGTCTCTGTTTTCTATTTAAATATGGACTATTAACTTTCCTTGTACTGTTCATAGCGCTTAGATCTAAAAAAGGGGAGAAAAACAAAGTAAATATTAGGACAGCTATTTCTAGTAAAAATACTAGAAAATGAAATGAGTCCTACTTTTCTGCACCATGTAGGGTAATGAAAACAAGCAAGGGTGCATTGAGGAAAATTTTGCCAGGACAGCAGCATTAGCTTGCTTTTTTTCTATTTCCAACTATCAAGTGACTGACAGGGGGAAACCGGGTTGAAAAATCCGTAGGTACTATCCCGACTTGTTGGATGCAGAAAAGTAGGATGTAAAACTCCATTCATTTCATTTCAACTTGTTGGGATTAAACCCTGGGCCTTCAGGTTAGCGAGTCACAGTGGCTCCCCAGAAAGTCTTAGAGGAGAGAACAATTTTTCAAGGGGTTACAAACAGTCATACATCATAATACTACCAATTGCAATGTGATGATTTAAGATTTAACATAGAAAACTACAATGGACCCCTCCTCCAGCAACTGGCTTGTATGAAATTCATGCATATGCACATGTAAATTATGTATACAGCAGGTGTCATTATAAACTCCTTATGTTGAATTGTCTAAGAAAAGAGAGGTTTAAGAAATTGAATTCCAGTCCAAATAATCTTATGTTTATGTGTGTACCTGCAGATATTGCTGAGATTTCAGCATGTATAGCAGAGGCATCAATATCTTGTGTCTGATTGGGTAGATTGTCTGGACATGGTGTGGATGTTTTGCCACCGCCTGCCTGAGATGAGAGTTGACTAGGTGTAACAGCTCGTGTTTGTTGTTGATTATTACTGACTGTAGTAGAGGCTAGGTTTTTTCGGGGTAATGTTGGGGTTGTACGTGAATTGCTCGCTGATTTGGTCACTGGTAAACTTTTATTACTGGATTTTTTTACTCTTGATGTAGGCTACAAAATTAAATGTCATGAAAACAATCACAAAAGATAACAATACTAAACACATTATGAAAATAACATTACATGAAATCAGAGCTGGAACTGTAAAATAAATTATAAGAAACTGGCCACAATCTTCAAGATAGTCAGGGATTAAAATCCACTTAATCCACAGTTTAAAACAAATTGTCTTCTCATTATAGGCTTCTCAATCTTAATCATGACTAACTTTAGTTGATCAGTAAATGACAAGTTAACATTCCTTTCAAGCAGAACCTGATAAAGGTGACTAGCTAACTATAGTCAACATTTGAGCCTTAAATATCTATGTCAAAATTATGAAAATTTGTATAAAATTGTGTGTGTATATATATCAATTACATTACCTACCTTTTCATTAAAAGAAGCAGATGATTTAGAAGAAACTTGTAAATATCTTGAAGGAATAATTGTTGGAGCTGAAGATAAAAATAATATATCATGGTATATTGACTATAGAACAGTAGCATTTCTACAAGCAGCCATGGTCCACCTAGGAAAGAGCTTCTCTTTAATAGACAATACCAAAGCTCGATGCATCCTGTCATTTGAAAAGCATATGAACTCATATCATATCTAAGTCCATACCATGTTTAGCTATTTGACAAAATGACTATTATGGAATTCATTGTATCTCATATAATTTACCTGTTTTCATTTTCATCTTTGGACCCTTGGAGGACGTTTTTTGATTCTGTAAGGCCCTGAAAAAAAATTTACATGTACATCAAGATAGAAAAATAAAAGTATTTTGAAAGACTATTCTGCAAATGCAGAAGACAGGCAAAGCCATTTGGTGTACAATGAGGAAAACTTTGCCAAGACAGCTGGATCAGACTACTCTTTTTCAATTTCTAACTGTCAAGGAAATTGCACACAAGGCCTTTTTTCTTGTCAGCCCCTCCAACCTACATCAGTGACAAAGTGAAGCCAATAGGGAAAAAATTCAAAGGTATTATCTCGACCTATTCCAGGATTGAACCCAGGACCTTCAACCAACATCATGTACCTACTTTGATTTTATAACTGGTATATATTCATCTATAGAACAAACAGTATCAGTTTCACTAATAATAGATTGTAAATCATCTTCTATATCACCCTTCATAGAACCACTCTCATCACTGTCATTAAAATTAGGTTGTGGATAGTTGGGTTTTATTTTAGACGGGGTACCTGCTATCTTTCTTACTGGTGTTCTTCCTTTACTAGCTGATTTTGGACGGTCTGAAACACAGAAATAAGTATACTAATTTGTGTTCTTTTCTAAGTTTTTTTTTTATATCTCAGTTCAATAGCAAAAATATTCTATAATAAAATTAATCACTGATTATTCACATAGATTGGTTGGTAGATGACAAGTTAACTTCCACTTCCAGCAGATTCTGGTATCACTACCATCCATACAGAAAAATAATCTAACTTATACTGTCATTTGAACCATGAGTTTCTGTATGAATAACATATCATTTTTAAGTTCTGTACATTATGAACCAAAAGAGTAATGCAGAAATAAATATCCTACCTTTATGTAGAGGTGAAATAGCTTGTAATGTTGATGATTGTTTGACTTTAGTTACTGATCGACTCTTCTTTTCTACCACTACATTATCATTTCTCTCTCTGTTATCAAACAAAAAAAAAATGGATAAAAAAATTGGCATTTATTTTAAAAACTACCAATATTTTAACTAATGCTTGAGGTTTAAATTCGTTCACAGAAAATAAACAACAAAATTTGAAAATTATCACTATGAAAGACTTCTCTCAGAAAAACGATTGATCAGGATGTATTTTCTGCGGGATACAACATTTGTTATCCTTGATCTGACAAGATTCAGTTCGCGATATCTACAGAAACATTTTCACATTAATAAGATTGTTGTTGTACAGAATTATTCAAACAAATTAATTAATACCTCAAGGCATCAGTATCAAGATGACAAACAACTCTAACAGGGGATTTTTTCATTCCAATATTCACACTAACTTCAGCTGAATTCTCAGGATTTAATAGATTTTCTGTAGCATCCATTACAATTACAGACTGAAAGAAAGAAAGAAAGAACTTACAACAAACAAATAAGTGAATCATGTATAACTCTATAACTGTGGACTGTACATAATAAACCCTGCCAACTAAAAAAAACCTTTTCTATCACTCTTTCATACCCTTGCTTCCTCTCATACATAACTCTAACACACTTACATTACTACAGATGACAGATATCACACAGTAGCAATACAAGACATTACAAGAACTAATACATACCTTATTGATATCATCAATAACCTCTGTGTCAATATCAGATAGATCTAATGAAGATGTAGGTTGAGGTGATACCTGATCATGATAGGAAGGTGTCAATCTGAAAAGGTTCCAATGAAATTTTACAATTTAAAAACCATTTAGGAGCAAGAGTTTTTACATAATATTGCACAATTACAACCATAGAGCAATTTTCAATAATTGTAGAATGAAATCGGTTTGTTGATAATTTGGAACAGGAGAGAATAATATGGAACAAAAGATAGAAAAGGCAGAGAATTTTAAACTGAATGAAGATCATTCTATATGCATAACCTGAGGACAAAATAACATACTGTAAGTTTATATCTTATTACAGAACTGGATAGCTTACTTGCTTGGTGTAACTGACAAAGTATCTGTATCATGATCTTCTATATCATCACTCACTGGAATATCAAGAAACATGTACATGTAGGTTTAATACAGCTGAATGAATTCATTTACACTTTATGATAATATTTAAATGTTAACATGATTTTATTAACAAAGAAACAAAATTAATCTGCATATTTACATAAAGTACTTTTAGATTTTAGTTGACTAAAATCCACAATTTACCTTGAGCACCAGATAATGTCTTCTTCACAATATTACAAACTGGTTCAGTAACTAATCTTCCTTGAGCCAGAGGTTTCCTGAAATTCAGCAAAACTTAAGATCTGACCAATAATTAGTACCGGTAATTTCATTTGTATTAATACATGGTTGGTGTTAATGGTAGACCAAAACATCTGTCCCTATTCCAGCCTCTGATAGCTATTTGGTGTGTTGGCTGGTGTTGAGACAAAGAAATTAGGTTTATTAAACCTATTTAGATACCTCTGATCTGCAAAACCCAGAGATATTGTGAAAGGCGAATATTTTTTTAGTCTAGGCATACCATCATTTTCTTAATACACCATTAACGTTACGTCTCCTGTTCCATCAAAGTTTTTTTTAAACGAAAGTGATCTTGCATCAGCCATTTTAAACTGCATGCACAGGCAAAAGTTCAAATGTTTCAGAGTCACATGATATTGACAAACCGAAAGTTACAGTGATGCCCAACACTAATTCAGTCATTGTAAAGGTAATTTAATATTATGTTAGAAAAATGCATCTTCAGGGATGTGGAAAATCCCCATTTAACATTTTTCTTCTGACTCCACTAAAGCCGATAACTGTCAAAATATCCATCAGAGGCTGGAACAGAGGCAGATGTTTCTATAACTATAACTTACCAACACAGATAACTTTTAGTTCATGAAATAAAAATTGGGTGATCACTTCTGATATCTAATCTGGATGAATTTTTTTCATTAAAGTTCAGTTGGTTGAACTGTTGAATTGCCATTGATTGGTGATCGAAGGTCTTGAGACTTTGAGATAAGCTTAGACAATCAAACTGACTTCTTGAAGTTGGAAGTTTTTCTTGTAAACAAACTCGAAGACATTTATTTCTAATAAACTTCACTCACCTATTTCGTTTAGGCACAGACTTTTGGGCTGGCTTGTAAAGATCTCTTTTGCCCTTAGATGCCATCTTATTGTAGCGCTATAATGCCGTTAATTTCAATGTTTATTTATCTGAAAGAGTGACTTTCTAAAGGCCGCCATAATGGTTTAAAATTTCGACTTAGTAAAAATAAAAAAAACGAAATGACATATTTTGCATCATCTCATCTATTTGACCCATAAAGTACAAAAATATATTGCAATCAGTCTATATATATTTGCATTTATTCTCAAAACACATTTATTGAGATATGGAAACGAACGCAATGTGAAAATTTAACAGTAAGAAATGCATTGTTCCACTTTATCTGTAAGGATAGAATATGAACGAAACCACATGTTGGAGAAGTCCTTAAAGCAGTTTTTTTTTCTAATTTTATCTAATAAATGTGATATTTTCAAATCAATGATATTATCGAAATCATCTTTACAAATTTTAAAAAAATTGTCTTTGTTTTATTTTTCTATGTCAACAATGCATACTTTTTTTTTATCTATTATGAAACGTATTATGCGTTATTATTTAAAAATTTCTCCCCCTGTCATGGCCGCTGAAAGTCAAAAATGAAAAATTTAGATGATCAACAACCGAAAAAGACTGATGTAAAGTCAACGAAGAGGTCATGGGGTGGCATATTCGAAATACGAGAACCTGGGGTTTCTCAAGCAAAATCTACATCGCTCTTTAGAGCAGTCAATTTCGAATTATACAGCCGACCTGTATGTGGCTTGTTACATCATTCACTTTCTAAATCAGTTTCGCCTATGAAAATATGACTTTCTAATAGAATAGTATTGCATGCAAAATTTTCTGGGTTTAATTGATACTCACTCGCTTGATGATAAAGTAAGCTTATGAGGTAGAAACCACTGGGGAGAAAACTGTCCCACCAAATGTCCCACAAAGGAGACTACTTTATTAAATTGACCATGGTGAAGTAGCTAAAATGATGTTTTCAACTTAAAAATATATAGACCTAGACTGTCTTATAAAACTCATTTTCAGAAATTTCATTTAACAATAGTCACATTTAGAAACTGTGAACGCCAGATGTAATTATTTGTGGTTATCTTTTGCTATTTCAGAACAAAGTGACCATGTCAGCAGGAGCCATAATGTTTATAGGATGTATAGCTTATATAGCTTATATGAACATTACTGATGATAAACAAAGATCACATTATAATACCATTAATTTAGATGGTAGTGTAAGTTCTAGACCAAGGACTTCAAAATGGGACTGAAAATGTGATTTTGTTCTTCTGAGTAAAGTGTGTGGTAGGAGGTTACAACTGTGGTTTAGTGGAAAATATAATTAAAACCAAGTTTATACCAATAAATAATTATCAGTAGAATTGTTTTTTGGATCACATGACTACCAAATGCCTTTAATTTAGGTGAACTTTAAGTTCTGAATGATTATGTAGCTAATTATCTGATAAATCCACAAAACAAAGTAATGATTGAAATACACTTTTTTTGAAAGTCTTTTTCAATAATTACTTGCCATTGTATGGCAAATTGGTCAGTTTTATGGTTTATCAGATTATAGAGAGATTTTATTGAGTTATGGCACCATCTAAGTCCACTGAGTGATGACCATTTTCATTCTTAGTGAAATCAATTAAAGATATGATTGTTGGTAATAAAACAAGAATTTGCAGTGATCAAATTTTTTTTTTTTTCAAATAAAAATCATTTGATACAACTTGTGTTCCGTCCATTATTATCAAAGTTCAATGTACTTGCTTTATCTACAAGTTATGATTTGGCCAAGAGACGTCATTGACATACTTTTTGTGCTTAATTTCACTCTTCTCTCTAGGCCAAGCTTTTACAGTTGGCAAAAATATGAATGATAAATCTCCTGCTTACTTTTCCTGATGCCAGAATAATTAGAAGACTAGGGTATATATAGTATATATCTTCTAAAGACTCTAGAAATTAATCAAAACAGTTTCAAACTTAATATTTATTACAATAAATTCACAGTCTTTGCAATTCATAAACAAAACAATTCAAAACATGTTACAATCTTTGTTTGATATTACAGGCAATCTCATTTCAAATTCTAATAACTTGATTCCTTATCCTAAATCAAACATTGAATCTTAATATTTAAATTATAACCCTACATTTCAGGTTAGTATTAGGGTGAATTAAGACCAATCTCAATGAAAGCGCTTGGCTATCCCTTCAAGCTATTACGAATCTTATACCTTGACTGCAATAGAAAGTTGAGAAAATACGTAATAGCCCGACTTTGTGAATGTGAATATAGTGCTGGCCTAAGTCACATCTAGCAATAGATAAGCTCATGGATTACATGACAATTAGATTAGTAACAATGCAAAATGTGAAACATTATGAAAATGTCTATGACTTCTTAGACTTTTGAAGATTGGAAAAAGTTCAACATTTAGGAATCAGAAAATGAGAATTGTTAGTGCATTTTAACAGCATTAAATACTTTATATCATTTAGTCTTTGGCTAGATAAAGAAAATTCATTGCTATTAAAATGATAAAAATAATATATATATAAACAACCAGTAAGAGTGAGGTAATAATGGGACTATATTAACAACAGTATAGTTCTTCAAACCACAATCAAGCTAGAGTTTGCCCAATACAATAATACACTTGCGCAGTGGAGAATTATTACTGAGTTATACAAAGTTATAAAATTGTAGAAATTGGAAATTTTTTCTCACAATTGGAAAGAACTTGAGAATTAGCATGACTGTGATCTAAATAATACAGTAAACATATATAGAAATGCATTAGAATGACAAAATATATCATTTGAATTGATTTCTTCTTTGTCTCTAATATATCCAACTCTTGGGTTTTCTCATGCACAAAATTGCACAAATCAAAATGATTATGCATAGATTAAAAACAATTATTATTCAGCATATGAGAGGGTGAGATGTTAAAAGTGTTATGCAGCATATTGTAATCTTTTGACATATTCTGTCAGTATAAATTCAGCATGCATTATAACTTCTACATATCAGCAATCTTAAAGGAGTTAGTCAAGCAGATTTTAATGAAAGTCAATACCATATACCATATATGATAAGCAGTTTACTCAAAATACATGTTATTCCATTGCATGTCAAACAGAATGTAACCCAAGATTAAGTCATTAATGCATGTCATCTCGAGATGGTAACCGTGGTTTATGGTCTCAAACTGGGACAATTTGAATGTTGTACCCTGTCTTCACACCACATTATTTTATCTGTAATCTTTTGTTTATATATGAGATATAAGATTTTGTCACATTAAGTTCACCTAAATTGCTAAGTAGAGTTGGAACTTGTACTGTATCTAGTATATCTCAAAGAAAAGTCGCCACTTTGACATCAAAATCTGTCAATCTTTGGGCTTCATTGTTAATTTTATAATTACTGCTACAGATGTTGCAAGACATATGTCTTTGGTATTGTTTGATATAAGATTTACTTGGCACTATTTAGCATGAAATCAGCATGGCAAATTCCAGGATTTGGGCAGTTTTTACCAATGTCTAGAAAAATTAGTCAGCATTGTAAGCAGTTTTTACCCATGTCTATAGAGAATAGAAGGGTTTTCAAACACAGGTTTCTGGAGTATAGGCAACTCTTACATTTTTAACTCTTCTAACTAAACTGGTAATATCGTTAATACAACCCCTGTTCTGCGAGCTTTGGTAATGATTGGTATAATGTGAATTTCTAACATCAGTTGTGCGGAAGCGTTGAGACTGGTAAGCCATATCATAATAGCGAGGTCTTTGGGCTGGAGACGAGGCAGAGTTGGTTTCAATGGAAGAAAGAGAGTCTTCTTCAGTTTCTGGTGAAGCTGTTAAAGCCTCATCATTGGGTGATGGCATCATATGGTTGATATATCGACTGCAAACCAAAAATATGACATGAAATACATGGGGATTGTTCAGGAGATGGGGTGGGAGGTTCAGACCACTAATTTTTGAGAACTTGTTTTTAATTTTTTATGCCAGCTACACGATCAGTAATCAGCTTTTCATGAAAGACACATCTTCACAATGTCAAGCTATTACAAACTTCGTCTTTAACCTTTGACTGCAATAGCAACAATTCTTGTGACACAGAAGTTGGTAAATGCAGTGATTTGATTGGACTAGCATGTACTATCAATCAGAGCTCTTGACAAAAAGTTTGTAAACAATAAGCCATAATGTTTACAGTCTCTGTCAAGGGCTATGGGTACGATCCAATCAAATTGCTGGATTCCATGATACAAGAATAGTTGCTATTACAGTCAAGGTATAAGTATGAAATATGAAAATCATAATAGACGTTGTGAAGATGAACAAGACTGAACAAGTGTGATATGAAGAATTCAAGAAATACTGAGAGCAGTGTAACATAACAGTAGACATTATTAAGCCAACTAACTGATTTATTTCTGCTATTCACAATTGTCATTTTCTGAAAACTCAAGACTTGTTAAAGTCAATGTATGCCTGTTATGAATGTATTGAAAATCCTCTTATAATGTCTTCAACATCAGGTTTGTAGCAAGACACTCTTTCAAACTACCAAGTTTTTCTAGATTGATTTTATACAGACACATAAATAAATAAAAGACAATAAAAAAAAATAACATGCTTTATTACAATAAAACAAAAGATATAAAAACACAAAAACAAAATTATTTTTAGTTAATAATACAACAGCAACTAATGTAAAATTGGAAAAATAAATCCATGTTGCATCTAATTTACATAACCTGTAATAACAGGCACCAACACTTTCTTGAATGATGTAAATGAGGGAGATGGCGAACTCCCTGACATATGAGGTAGCTCTCACCTAATCAAATTGCATTACTTTTACTATTATCATGTAGCTCTTTACATGGTCTCTATAAACTAAATAGTGCTATTTGATAACACATCTTTGACAAATGTTGGCAGTGAAATGTCAATCTTAAAATGATATTTGTACTTACTACTGTATATTTGCGAGTAAAATGCCAATTTTTTTACCCTAAAAAGGGCTAGCAGTTTAGACAATGACAAAGTTTTTTATGTTGAATAATGAATAGCTGATCGTTGGACTAACTTTAAGATGAAAGCATGCAACAATTGTACCTACCAGCAAAATAGATCATTCCTAACCTACATGAATCCCTTATAAAACTAAATAATGAACAATGAAGTATAACATAACATTAAAATAAAATCACAGGGATCAAGCATAGATATAGATTTATATGAGATGAATATATAATTGTGTTCTTCTCAATAAATTAATGTAAAATATGATTATCTATCCATGGACATGAAACATTCAACTATTATAGGAAAATATATCTTCTGTCAGATCTAAACATATTTAAAATCAAACTTCTTCAAAACAAACAAACTTTTTGATAGATCTGAATGTATTTATTTGCTTAAAGGAATGCTATGTCTTAGAATGAACATACAATATAAGAGTTTTAAACTTGGCCATTAAGACCATATTATATTCATCAGTAGATATACCTGGTGTCATAAATAACATAATAGGATCCTTATATAATCCGATAAATTCAAAAACTTAGTAATTATCTATAAATATGTAATTAATTATTGAAAAAAGATTAATATTAAGATTAAGCGTTTTAAATAAGTTACTTAGTTTAGTTTTATTAATTTTCCAATTTGCCAGATTTTACAGGGTTTCTGTTGTAACTTTATGACACCAGGTCATATACTGATGAATGTATACTCATATTGACCATTCTTGAGAACTTAAATTTTATGTTCATTCTAAGACGTAGTATCACTTTAAAGAAGTCCCTTTCAACCTCTATATTAAACCAACCTTAAAACTTAAAATAATTTAACACCATTTGAGAAGCAATCTTGAAAGTGGATGAAATCCATTTAAAGGGATTGTAAAGAGGTTTTCTTAACTTCTTATGAGTATAGGGGACACTGATAGAATCAATTTGCACTTTTTAGTGGAGGAAATGTAAAGAGGTTTTCTAAACTCTATATATCACTCATTTTCATTATCAGTCAGATATCTGTGAATCTTGCAAATCCACTAGAGTAAGCTTTTCTATAATAATAGGAACCATTGGCACAGACGGAGAACTGATGAAAATTTTTTTGCATGAGGTAAATAGAAGTCATAAATTGGCCCCTATAGACATATAAAAAGCTAGAAAATCTCTTACAACCCCTTTAATACCAAGCTTGACAAATACAACTAGGATACAAGGGTGTGTATACAACACTGAACATACTGAATAATACAAGATGGCAGATCTACCTACTTATCTGGTACATGATATAACTGATGTTTTTTAATATAATCTATCACATTATCTTGTACTAAATATTTTACACTTTCACCTCTCCGTAATGCACGTCTGAAAAATACAACAAGCTTGGTTAACAAATCATGTAGTGACTGTGCTGTTTTATAAGGGTATTAGAACCTAACCGATTTTTATGAGATATCATCCACCACATGATCAGATTATTTAGAATTCATTGTTATCATCAAGAGGACCCACTGAATGATACCTGCATTTTAAAGGGATTGTAAAGAGGTTTTCAAAAAATTTTTATGTGTATCGGGGACACCGACAGCATCAATTAGCACCATTCCAATTTTCAATCAGACGTCAGACTTTTCGCAAATTATGCTGTATCACTAAGGACTTGCTGATTAGTGACAACATAAAACGCTTTGTTTAAGTTGAATTGCATTAACCACAGACGTCTGATTGAAAAATAGAATAGTGCAAATTGATGCTATCAGTGTTCCCGATACATATAAAAATCTTAGAAGACCTCTTTACAATCCCTTTAAATGTTCTGAAACAATGTGTTGTATTGCTATAAGAAAGCTTACCTTATTTTTGTAGCACTTATATCATTAAATATCCATTCTGTAACTAGATGAATATAGTTCTAAAAAATGCAATTGAGTGTTGATTAAAACACAAACTTACTAACTTTGAGGGAATTGATATAAAGAATGGTTCCTTAAGCTACGAAGAAGTCATTGTTATAAAAAGACAACCAAACAGAAGCCTCGGTGAGCATACTGTTACCCATCTTCACAATGTCAAGCTATTATGAATTTCTTCTTATACCTTGACTGCAATAGTCACATTTTTTGCATTTGGTTGGATTGTATGTTAGCGAATACATGTACAGTATATCACAGTTGACAGTGTTTAAACAATAAGCCATAATGTTTAAGGCCTTTCTGTCGAGGGCTGTGATTATGCTGTATAGCTATTATAAAATTCAATCAAATTGGATCCGGTCATACAAGAAAGGTCAAGGTATAAGACGAAGTTTATAATAGCTTGACATTGTGTAGAGAGGAGTCAAGTGTCAACTTCATCAAAGCAGATCCTTTGCACAAAATGTTTATTCATCTTCTACAAATTTACCTGATTTTTACTTAAGACATCAGATTCGTAAATAAACTTGGAAGGATCAGTTCCACATCTTGTAACACAAACTAAACCATAATTCTGTAAAATATCTTCGATCTGAAAAAAAACCGGGTTTCAGTGCTTTATATCAACATTATCCTAGGATTCACCACATATATAAGTTTAGAGTAAAAACCTGGTATATAACATTTTCCTCAAACATAAGTTATGTATATAAAATTATTGTCTCGAGATCAGCAACAACCTGATATCCCACTGAGAGCAAATTGACCAACCCATGTTGTGAGTTTTTTTTTACAGTTTTCCCTCAAACAATCCTTATTGTATAAGATCAGAAAAAGGAAGTGCATTATTTCAATATCAAAATATTCATTTGCCTTTGATATTTTTGTGAGAGCATCAACTTTTTACTTGTAATGCTACTTTCTCTGTTCTTTCAGCCCAATTGAAAAGTGATGTCATCAGGTGAAAGAAAATTGTTAAATAAAACAATATATAATCCGAGACAGTTGGCATTAAAGCTGAGACTGAAAGGTGTAGCTCTAATGTATAGCAGTAACAATTTAATCTTAACGTCAAAAAATGTAACATTGTTAGTGCACAAGCGCCTGTATTTAGAAAATAGAAATTATAATTGTTTCTTTCAATTCTGTTATATTCAATTCTCAATAAATATTCAACTAGAAATTTAGAAAAATCCATATGTGAGTAAGTCTAAAGCTAGTGTCCTACCTTCACCAGCTTTACTAATAAACATCATATAGTGTAATGGCGTGTTTCATTTGCGTTACAATTGTATTGCAACAGACCTGCCATTGAATAAAAGTAACCTATGAACTTACATCTTGAGGCGACCAGAGTCCTGGTTTACCAAAAGATTCTAATAAATCAGCTCCACATAATAACTTTAATCTGACTCCTGGTTCTTCTTCGAAATTTATTCTAGGTGTATTGTCTTCTGGTACAACTGAAATAAAAAAATATAAAAACATAAAATTATAAAAATTGAGACTGTCTGAACTACGAGCATCCATGAATGATTCAAATTAAAATATGAGCAGTTGACTTTATATAATATCTCAAAAATGTAAGCCATCACCACTATAATCGCTATGGTGAGACAGTACCTTGAGACCTAGGAAAAATGGCATTGAAATGGGTAAATATACGCATGACACAGAACATGTATGACACCTAACTTTATTATTATTTTATTTCTGAAATGAATCTAGTGGGAGTTAAGAATTCTATCTATTACTATAGAATTCAATAAAACAACATGATATATAGACAATGTAATGATATATAATGGCATGACATTTTAAACAGTAGAACTTGAATATCATCCATATATATCTACTTTAACAGATAATATTGTTTTATATTCTTCATCTACATGTCTGAGAGCTTTATATGTAGCTGAGTACATCCAAATAAACGGATTGTAAAGGGGTTTTTAAAAGGTTTTCAGTGACAATCTTTACTCAAATGCCTTTTCCTTGTTGCACAGTCCTTTTTGTATACTAGTCTATCATTATCTATCTTAAGACTCTGCCATATATACAAAAGACATAAGGAATTATGTGATTTTCGTACATTTCTAGTACTTCTGAAATCTATTTACATAATTCAAGGCCAAAATTAACCCCGAAAATGATGAACATTTAGAAGGATTGTAAAGAGGTTTAATCGGGACAGCTTTTTGTCAGATTCTTTTCCTTGTTAAACAGTTCTTTGAATATAAAAGTCTATCATATAAATCACATTCCTTGAACAGCAGGTGGACAATACAAGGATTAGTAGTTTTAATAACTGAACACATCAAGATCTAACGCAAAGCTAGAGAATAACAAGCTTACACAAGCTTAATGTATTTTGAAAATTATTGGATGTGTCATCATGTTTGGCTGATTAACTGACACGTAGAATTTCAGAATGGACAGTCCCTAGGGTATATTTATCATGATAAATCTCACAACTTATAATTAGACTAACGACTAGCAATCAATATAGTATTTACCTAAATAAACACTGATATCTTTATTTAAACATTTCATAATTCTACTGTAAATATCACATAGTCAGCAATTTAGTTAACAATCAGGAGATGTCATAGAAAACTTCAGTGACTATGGATGAGAGTCCTCAAAGTTTCTATTCAAGGGATATTATCATATAATCCTGTAATTATTTACTGATCACATGATAGAACTGAACTATGTTGCATTCACCAGATGGAAAATTTGATGCAGAATTTGTCTTTCAATAAATGGAACAAAAAAGCTGTACTTTTGTTTTATTTCAAACTTCACTGATTTTTTTAATGTGACCTTGAATACCCAAATAGTACTGTAATTGTTACTGCATCAATAAAATTCAATTTCTCAACAAACGTGTCAAGACATTGAACGTTGCCTAGTGTCTGTTATATGTGTTGAAAATAAGTAATATTTTGTCAAAATTAAAAAACAAAAATCTATCAATACAATACAAGTACAGTATTCTTGTGCTATTGAATAATTTGTGCACCATATTGAAAATATTAAAGACTTAATATATAGTTTCTTAGAATCACATTAACAGCTTGTTGGCAGTTGAATTACTTGTAAGATTTTACACCATCAAAGTTTTCTGAGATGTTGACAGATGAAGGGAATTTGGTGGAAGACACAAAGGTAAAATTTGTAAATACAAATGAGACAACTAAAGAAGATTAAAGTGTTTCCGTATAAACTATTACAGACATATCCAAGTCAAAATATACTAGTAAAGACAGACAGTTTGTCTAACATAGAAACTCAATCAAAACACACCAGTTGGAAATTCCTGGAGAACTGCCAGAAACATGGAAATAAAACTGGAAGATATGGTACATAAATCTTGGCCAAGTCACAACCTTATTCAACAGTCATTTTAAAGTTTGATTCAGAAATTCTATATTTCATTCTGTTATACCAGAAATAACTTGATAAGCTATAATAAAATACTGGATGTCAAGCTGACAAACTCTGGTACAAAATGTCATTAGGTTTCTTAAAGACACAGATTCGCAAGAAGTACTAGAAATATATGAAAATCGCATAATTCCTTAAGAAAGCAAACTAGAAATTTGACTTACTATTTCTCTATGTGAAAAGAGGTTGTCATTTTAACTTTCAAACTGGCATAATTGTGGATTATTACTGAATAGCTTAGTTAAAACATTCCAGTTTCTGAGACCAAGCTATAGTACAAACGTTCAAATAGATGGTAAATCTGTCTCTTTAAATCCATAAAATGTCTCCTTTTCTTTACAAACTGACTTTCACATAACATAATCATTACTAAACTAAGTAAGGCCGTAACTAAGGTCTTTTATTAAGAGGTCTTTCATGCAATCTTGCTGTAGACTTCAAATGGTAACCATGTTTACTGTAGACATCAAATATACACAATATGTATAGTGGATATTATATTTCTTTAAACAAAATTTCTTTTGTCAAAGTCGGCATGAAGCATTTGCCTTGATGTAGTTACAGCCCACCTGACATTGACTGAATAAAATCCTAATTTCATCATGATACACAGTGTTCCAGAAGAGTAATTAGCTGTGATAAAACCTCCAGGCTAGAAGCTAATGTTAATAGTCTAATCAATAAATCCTAGAGACACAGTTCAACCAGAAATCTTATCAGTTTCAAGTAATTCCCTCCTGATTTTACTTCTAAGGTAATCTCAGAAAAAATTGTGATCAGCTTAAAGATAAGAGTTCCACAATTCATTGGAGAAAAAACAAATTTCCAAGAAGATAACGGCAATCAACAAAATCATTGGCACTGGCAAATCATTTCTTCAAATTAAAGTAAAGTAAACAAATTAAATCCTTTCCCCTAAAAGGAAATTTGAGTAAAAAATAACATTGATAGTTCCATACTGTTTTGATCAAATCCACTTACATTTGAGATAAGTTTTATGTGTCTACCTTAAGACAATAATTTACACTTGATGTTAATGGACATGTCTATAGAAAAAGATGTACAATGGACATATATATAGAACAAGATAAGAAAATAATTATGAATTGAGTAATTAAGTCTGTCTGTTTAGATCTCTAAAGGACATGAACACACTTGCAGGCATGATTATACTTCTATCTGGTTAAGATTCTCTGTCAATACCAGTGATCCTTATAAAACATTTAGACCAAACAATGTTCATAGCCTAGCTTCATCTCTAATGATGCAGATTCTTCTGACCTTGAACCGCACTGGTAATCAGACTGCTTTCGTTGTGTTCGCCGTTCTTATACATCAGATGTCACTAAGCTGCACCAACAGCACCTAATTTTTCAAGTATCTAATGTTTATTAAGCATACTTCCACTCCCATAGTCCTTCAATATTTGAATTTAACCTTGACATTGACATAATAACAGCCAGTCCTTTATGATCTGTAAACAACGCTATTATCACATTATCAAATGATGCGTTTAGTTTTAACATGATGAAACAATAAGTTGATGGAGATTTAATGATAGATAACATTACAACATTTGTTATAAAACACAATTTCTATTTCATATTAATGGTGTTTAACAATAAATATCAATTTTTTTACCATAATACTTCATGAAAATTCAATGTTCCTTCGTCAAGATCGATTAAGGTTACAACTTACTTATTCTTATACAATGTTCACAGTTCCAGCCATGAATTTAATTACCTAGGACAGCCTCTTCCAAATCATAGCTTTTGAAATTTTACTTGTTTTGAATTGCAAGTTCTTCAATATTCTTAGAGAATTTAACTTCTTGTGCAACTCATTAAAAGATAATAAAAGGTAAAAATGATTCAGAACTAAAAGAAGGATTCAAACCTATAGAACTTTTTTGACCCAGTTGACAACAATTCAACTCTCTACCAATTAGATATCTATCCAGAATGGAATGATAAATCTTCAATAGACCAGTATGCACAGTACAATAAAACTAAGAAGTAGTATACCATAAAATTGTGTTCTGTTATTTAATGTGATCTCTACCCCTAAATGTGGAGTAAGGATTAGTTATCACAGAATACTTTCTAGACTGTAAAGATAACATGTATAATTCTGTTATTTATTGTGTTATATGATCTGAATTCTAAACGGTTCTATAGAAATCAGAAGAAATCAATATGTCATTGAAGCTTAATTTTGTCTTCTCTTAAACATTTCCTGTCCATTAACAGAGCTGCTATCATTTTCTGTCACATTTCACTTTATAACCATTCCAATTCATGATTTAATGTTCAGAGCTTGACAGGCAGTTCAAAGAAAAAATTCAATTTGCTTGAATTTAGTTTCCTGCATTTTGAAATCAATATATTTGGTCACAGATGAATTATACTCATTGAAAATCTGATATATTAACAAAATAAATCAACTGTTGAAATCTAAAGGGGCCCTCACACCATAGCTATCATGAGCTACATATGGTGCATAATAAGAATAGCAGTTATAAATTTCAAAAGCAACTCTCATGCTACTGAGTAGTTAGATGCGTTCAGTTCCCAAACAACCGTTAATGGTAATCACTATGTGTGAGGGCACTTTTATATCTCAAAACAGGAAAACCAATAGAAGTGTGGTGGATTACTGTAAAAATAGTAACCTCAAACCCTTAAACCATGGAATTACAGAGTTATCCAAAAGACAGGACACAGTTTTTCTTACCCTACTTAGCCCAAATATTTACACTACAAAACTGTCAATAGATTTCTGGCTAGCAAATGCTATTTTCACATTTTAAATGACAACGCTTGTGAACATAACTTCTCAAACTTAAAAGATAAAAGTATTAGAAGTTACATGGAAGTTGGTTAAAAATTTAATGAAAGTCAGTTGCAGCTCAGCTCCATTGTGCAGCTATGATTAAAAGTTGAACATATGTTCAAAACCCAAATCAACCCCCGAAATAGCAAATCAAGTTGCCCTCAATTTTAGCTCAACT